AGCTCCTTGTGGATCTTATGTCAGTGGCATCAACTCAGGCAAAACACATTTCCCACATCCAGTCATCTGCTCTCGGTGTCTCAGAGATCGGGTCACAGGCCGCAATCTCCGACACTGCAACCACGCTCCCTTGGTCTGGGGTTGGCTCTCTGTGCACCGCTGCCGCTGAATACACCCAGTCGGAGGAACCCGGACTTGATGTGATTCCTCCCGGCCCCGGTGCGACGAATGCAGCTGTGATATCGGTGACGTGCCAACGCGCTGGAGCCCTTACCTCTCCAACTTGATACCAAGTGGGTGGACGGGGGAGCCGGCTTTCAGGAGCCGGTGCACAGTTCTACGCCATCTAGGAGAAGCTGGGCTGAAGTGGTCCGTGGCGGTGAGAAACACCCAGACTGGAATGATCTTCACCCGAGTCTGGTCCTCTCAAACCGCTTCGGACTTCCCACTTCCCAGTCCAAGCCAACAACTGCCTGGACTGAAGCACCGCAGACCGGGCCACAAATACAACATTCGTTGCCCCTTCACCTCGGCCCTCAGTTACCATCCATTTGCCCGCTCTTCCCTCCTGCAACCCTCATTGTTGGTGACTCTGTGGTTAGAGGCGTTCGCTTTTTTAACGCGGACACTTGCTGCTTTCCCGGTTCGACTGTTCCAGACATTCTGGCGAATCTCCAATCACTTCTGCCAATGCTCCCCTCTTCAGTAAACAGACTCATCGTGCACGTTGGAACTAGTGACACAGCCAGACAACACTCTGAACTGACAAAAAAGGACTTTAACCATCTTCTGGAGTTTCTTGGAAAATCAGCAAAGGAAGTGTTTCTATCTGGCCCCATTCCGACTCTTGGCCGCGGGTCCGTTCGTTTTAGCAGGATCCGCACACTCAACACCTGGCTCCAGGCCGCATGCATGGCTCACAATGTGGGTTTAATCAATAACTTTAACTTGCTTTGAAATCGTCCCAGCCTCTACGCAAGAGACGGTTTACACTTGAACAAAGCTGGCGCTGAAGTACTAACAGCCAATATTCAGTACACTGTTCACTCCTATCCACATGATTGACTGTTTACACCTGGCACACATGATCCTGGATCCCCTGTCCTCTGTCACTCCTCCTCTACGTTCATTCATCAGCCGCATTCATCCCCTACAAGCAACACTACCTCCCCCTGGCGGCATGGAGGGTCTCCTACTACTCTCTCCCTAGCCTCTACCGTAACTTCCACTCCACGACCCATGAACATTCCCGTGAGAATCACAGACTCGCGCTCACGCCCTAGTTGTCGTCGGGTTCGAGGTGTTGCACGAGTGATCCGTCCTATTGCACATACCCCCAAAGCTTCCTGTGCTGATGACGACACAGTGTCTTCCCCCATCAAAATGTGTCTGATTAATGCACGCTCTGTAACAAACAAGGCTCACATTTTAAATGACTTGATCACAAGCCATAATTTGGCTTTTTTATTTCTGACTGAGACCTGGCAACGGAATATGGAATGCATCCATTTCAATGAACTCTGCCCTGTGTTCTTATGTTGGGACACTGCGTTTGACAGGCCTCGGTGGAGGCCTCGCCGTGGTCTGGAAGAATCAGTTTTCCTGCCAATTGGGGAGCACAGAATTCTATGCTACTTTTGAACTACAGCTGACTAAAGTGGGCTGGCTAAAGCCGTTTTACTGTTTTTTAATTTCACGCAACATGTTTCTGGCGCCACTCACAGGGGTGGTCACACCTTGGACCTTGTGTTCTCTCTGGGTCTTGCTATTGATAATACCTGTTGTGAGGACCTACTGATCAGTGATCATAAATGTATTTTCTTTGATCTTTCTGTCAATGCTGACCCCTTGTGTCTGAAACAAACATTCCACTCCCGCATTATTACTCAGAGTACAGCTGATCAGTTCTCAATGCACTTCTGCTGTGATATTAATACAAATCTTAATGATGTTGAACTCTTGATACAGTATTTTAATGAACATTGCACCACTTTGCTGGATAAAGTGACACCTCTTAAGGAAAGGACCAGGGCTGCCTACAACACTTCTCCGTGGATGACAGACGCTGTCTGCAGCTTGAGACGGAAGTGTCGCAGGACAGAGCGGCTCTGGAAAGCCACTGGGCTAGAAGTGCATCGCTCATATCTCAAAGACCTCAGAGTTTCCTTTAATGCTGGAGTAAAGGAAGCTAGAACTGCTTATTTTGCCAACTTAATCTCTTCCTCAAAGAGAAATCCCAAGATTTTGTTTGACACAATTAAGAGAATTGTTTCACCGTCTGTCTCTACAACACCATGCTGTTCTGTTGACGATTGCAACAAATTCATTACCTATTTCAATCATAAGGTAACAGCTATTAGGTCTGGCATTCAGCCTGATTTGTTCATCTACATGTAGCTCCTCGCAATCTCCTACTATTCTGGACTCTTTCCAGCCTATCAGCCTTCAAGACCTGATGGACTTAATTAACAAAACAAAGCCATCATCTTGCCCCCTGGATATAATACCATCCTCTCTATTTAAGAAAGTTCTGCTAATTATTGGCCCTGCAGTAACATCTATTGTCAATTCCTCATTGTCTACAGGATTTGTCCCTTCCTATTTTAAACATGCCACTATCCAGCCTATTTTAAAGAAACCCAACTTAGATCCGGCATTGCCTATGAACTACAGGCCCATATCAAAACTGCCTTTCCTGTCCAAAATTGTAGAGAAAGTGGTGGCCAACCAACTTACAGCTGCACTGGAGAGGCACAACATGTACGACGAATTCCAGTCTGGGTTTCGCAGACAACACTCTACTGAAACCGCTCTCCTGAGGGTTTCAAATGACATTCTCATGTGTTCTGATGCAGGTGACTGCCCTGTATTAGTTCTTCTGGACCTCAGTTCTGCATTTGACACTGTAGACCATAACGTCCTGATTAAGAGGCTACGTGATTGGGTGGGCATATCTGGCATAGCGTTAGACTGGTTCACGTCTTACCTCAATGACAGAAGTTTTAATGTCTCTGTGGGTGATTTTGTGTATGTTACCTCTCCACTGTCTTGTGGCGTACCGCAGGGCTCGGTTCTGGGGACTCTGTTATTTTCCCTTTATCTGTTACCTTTGGGACCGATTATAAAAAGTTATAATGTGTCCTATCATTTATATGCAGATGATATCCAACTCCATCTGTCATTCAAACCCAGCGAGGCCTTCACATTAACTAGGCTCCTGGACTGTGTCGATGCCATCAGAGACTGGACGGCAGAAAACTGCTTACAACTCAACGACACTAAGACGGAGGTCCTAGTTATTGCTCCAGATGAGTTTGTCCCCATGATCAGGCAGAGTATTGGTCCACTCTCCTCTGCTGCCCATTGCAACCTGCGCAATCTAGGGTTATTTTTGATCGATCCATGTCGTTTGACCCCCATGTTAAGCAGCTGTCCAGATCATGTTTCTTCCATCTAAGAAATATCAGTAAACTGAGATCTGTAGTATCAACACCTGAACTAGAGATGATCATACACACATGTATCTCTTCATGCATTGACTACTGTAACACACTTTTCTCGTCACTCAGTGTATCTGCTCTTAACCGTCTGCAGGTCATCCAAAACGCTGCCGCCAGATTACTCACCAGGACAAATCGACAGTCTCACATCATCCCCGTACTCCGATCTCTCCACTGGCTCCCTGTAGCATTTAGGATACACTTCAAAATTCTCACCCTCACTTACAGAGCACTACACGGTCAGGCTCCTACTTATGTAGCTGATCTACTTCACCCATATTCACCCGCCCGCACTCTCAGGTCAAACGCTCTAGGTCTTCTGTCAGTTCCACGCACACGATTTAAGACCCGTGGTGACCGAGCCTTTGAGGCAGTGGCGCCGAGGCTGTGGAATGCTCTGCCTGCGACTCTACGCCTCGCAAATTCTGTGAATACTTTTAAAAAACAGCTCAAAACCCACCTTTTTAGCCTGCCGTTTGAGTAAAAACCCATGTCCTAGACCTGCTCTTAAAATGTTTTAATTTTTTATTTAGTTTTAATTTATTTTTATTTTTATTTTTATTTTTTCTCTGTGTATGTAATTTATTGACCCTATGGTCACATTGTGTTTTTTATGCTTTTAAATTTCTGCTCTGTTAAAGCACTATGATTTTTTTGTCTGTGAAAAGCGCTTTATAAATAAATTGTATTATTATTTTTTTATTTATTTCTCTTATATTCGTGACTTGGCTCCTGCATCTCCCTCTTTATTTCCGTTACTTTTTGCTTATTTAGAGACGAGCTTGCTTCTTTCTCTTTGAAATTGCTCCACACTTATTTTCAAAATCAAATGTTTTAATTGTTTATTTGTTTATAGTACAAAAACCGACTTATCCCTAATTACAATAAGACCATGAGTAAGCAAGTCATTCTTACCCTATTCTTTATTCTACGTGGTTTGTATTTAGCAGAATAGAGTGGAAGCTACGCGTCCTGGTAAATCATCACCTTTTGTTACTTTGCACCGGCCTGATAGATTTGTTTCCCCACCTTAAGGTACAGCTATAACCAAATACAAACACATTATTCAGATATGCACAGATAATGTGCCCTGAACAGATACATTAAACATTGTTTATTGCCACAACAACTCACCGTGTCACAACTCGGTGACATCTAAACGCACAAACATTACACACACCTTGTGGAATTCACTCTTTACACTGGCGTCTGGATCTCCAATGTCCATCGAGGATGGAAATCCATAATCCCTTTAGAATCCATATAAAAAGTGTAAAGAGTGCCTAGTAATGGAAAAATAATAATGCTATATGTTGTGGATCATCAGCTGCCTGCAATCTTAATCTTGATTCATAAAAACTTGTTTTTTGTGTTTTTTTCCTCATTATTTTCCGCTTTTTGTCTAAAATTGTTCCTAGTTTGAGATAAAGCATGGACTTTTAGTTGTTGTGGCCTGTCCTAACTTGGTCCCCTTCTCTCCCCACTTCTTCATTCCCCCAGGAAACGAACATCCCCAGCCAAGGATGAGCACATGGCGGGGGTCAAGGACTCACTGCTGGCCCACTCCTCAGACCCTGTGGAGATGAGGAGACTCAACTATCAAACACAAGGCATGGACACACACACACAACAAATGTCCAAAGCACTTATAAGCTCATATGTATGAGCTTATAAGTTATGAGTTATGCCTGGTAGTAGACTCTTATTGAGGTCCAAATGATCTCTGTTGTTCCCTGTCAGTGTGCACAGTTTGTTGCTGTAATAATACTCCCAGATACTATCTACTTAGGTTTTGGTATCCGGCCCTATCAGCACATACTGTTGTGTACTATGATTTCACAGTAACAGAGAGAGGCAGGCCATCATTTGAAACATCCTTCTATAGAGCTGTGAAGTGGGGTGAGCTCTTGTTATACAACTTCACATGCCACGAAACTCTCCAGGTGGAATTGTCATGACAAAAGATAAAGAACTGCATTCAGAAAAAAATCTGGCAGTTAAAAAGTCTAAAGTACAAGCCTGTGTGCATAAAAAGTGCTGGGTGGAAGTTAACCACAACTCCCAAGGTGCATTTCAGCAAGGAACGTCCAATGGCCGAGCTTACAATTCTGTTACGTGTGTGGCTGACGGCGGGCAGAAGCTGAAGATTGCTCTTTGAGAAAACACACCTCTGACTGGCTTCTTCTCCATCGCAATTGTAGCCGAGGCTCATGGGTATTGTAGTATTCAAAGTCATCCATCATGCCAAAATGATCGATTCAAAACCTGATTTCTCAAACCCAAAGCTGAAATAACTAAAAGTGGTGGTCGTAGAACAACCTATATTTTCGTTACAATAACTGGTAGAGTCCTACGTTCATACTTTAGTCAGTAAGATGTGTTGAGAGGATAAAGTAGAAAAAGTAAAATAGGTAATAATAATCAGCAGCCCCTCTCACTTTGCAACTCTACTAAAAAGGTGGCATTTTGTGTAATTTGCCCTGTTTGACATATATTGTAATGATGTTACTACAATCTCAAAACGTCCTTCAGGTTTAACAAATTCAACCCAATGCACGTTTTCATAGCATGCTCTTTTGAACAGAAATACTGTTTTTGTTCACCAAATACCAACAATTGCTTCCACTGTGCCCTTTTTCATACCTCTTATATGCAACTGTCAATGATCAATCAACAATCAAACTCAACATGTTTCACATTAGAAGCCTTCCAGTGGCTCAGAGGGCAACATCCTTGCCTGTCCTGGTAGGCTCTTAATGTAAAGTGTCATTGATGGTTTCTTAACAATGATTGTAACAAATAAGGAACGACAACGTCAAAGCAGTTGAAATGGATAATGAATGGAAAGAGTTTTTCTGCTGTGAGAGTATGACAGGCCTGTTTGAATGGGTGCTGTCCAAACATTATACTAGTTTTACCACAGGAAGTATTTGAGTAATTCCAACCCCCTAGTGCTTTTTATCTGAAACTTGGTCATAATTTGAATTCCAGCTTTTATTAGACAATTTACAATGACCACCAACTGTATATTTAATGTGTACTTTTTATGTGTATTAATAACAACTCCAGGAAAAAACATGTTGAAACATTTTTTCTCTAAAGTTGAATCTCTCAAGTGGGAAAAAATGAGCACTACACGCCGTATGAAAGAAAGGATCATCACAAAAGATCAATTTCACTAAATTCATCTTGGTGCTTGGCAACTGTAAAATTAATTACAAATGAGATTTGTAATTATTCTTGAGCTGTATTGATTAAAACGACCAAAATTGCCAAATATGAGATACAAAAAACAAGTACAAAATAACTCCAACTATCCTGCAGGTTAATCTCCCTGTGGACTTGGCTGTCATATATACTGTATATATGAATATTAGTTGAAAAGGAGTGTTGTTGATTCATAGGTGAGAAAAGAAGAATACTCTGTCATCCAAACTAAAAAACCAAATGTGTAGTTTGTGTTAAGAACAAACCCATGCAATTGTTTTCTGATCTGACGCCATGATCATCAGGACGACATCATTTCAATCAGGAGAGACAAGTCAGATGAAGAAAAGATAATTGCTTATTATTAACAGATGATATGTGATGATAAGTCTTGACAGAGTCTTTGGTGCTTTGACTCTACAGGGAGATTTGTAATGGAGGGGCGTCTGCCCTGAGCAGCAGCAAGATAAATCCAGACACTGGTGGTGGTGCTGATGAGGCTGATACAATGATGAGTTGATGAAGACTGGGTTGAGATGGGGAGGTGGGTAACAACAGCATGAACGTACTGAAGGTAGAGAGACAATCATATTTAAGAGAGACGGCAGCAAGATGATAGGCTAATGATGTAATTGTTTCATTGTGCTATTAGATAGAAGAGACCAGCTGATCTAAACTGCTGATATCATGATGGACAGCCCCGAACAATGACAGCAAGGAAATAGTGAGTGAATATGCGAATGGCTGATGTGTGAGAAATAAACTACAGGCCTAAGCATACAAGAGGATAGTCTTATTTATTGGCTTATTTGATACGGGACAGAGCACATTAATGAAAACATTTCTGCAAATGCGCCAGTTAAAGCCAAAAAGCCAAAAGGCTATTTTTCATCTGTAGTCCCAAGAGGCAGATGTTACAAAATAAATCTAAAAACAGAAGATAAGATTAAAATTAAAAGGTTATACAATATTGAAACTTTACAATGTGTGCACAAACAATGAAAACAGTGAGAATAAAACTCTTATACATTGTCAAGTACAAACAAGACATGCAACACAGAGGCTCTCAAAGTCAACACACGCAACGCAAATAAAATGAGGGATGACTATGTTAAAATAGAAACATGGACTAAAGACAGTATTATGCTGTAGTTGTTTAGACACTAAAAAACATCCACGTCAGCATAAAAGCAAAACATAAAAGCATACAGAGTATGTGAAATGCATAAATCAGTCAGGTGACAACAGACAAACGGGTGACAACAGACAGACAGGTGACAACAGACAGACGGGTGACAACCAACAGACGGATGAAACAGACAGATCGAGGGAAGTTCAACACAGACAGAGAAACAGTTACAATCTGGTGCTGACAGAGCTGGGTACTAACTAACCATTTCTGTAATGGAGCTTTAAATGAACTGTATGTTTGTAGTTCTCTAATGGTCACTGGGATGGAGTTCCATTGTAGTGCAGCTTGTACAGAAAAGGCAGATTGACTGAAAGCACTTTTCCTGAGTGGGATAATGCAATCCCTTCTTGCTGCTCCTCTTGTGAGCCGATAACCAGTTGTTCTTGTGATAACAAATTGTTTAAGCGGAGGAGAGGTCAAGCCATGTATAATCTTGTACATGAGACAGACATTCACATATTTAATCATGTTCTCCCAACTAAACAAGTTATATTTTTTTAGTATGATGAGAAAGAACAGATTGTTTATCAAGGATTTTGATTGTTGGTTTATACAATGATTGTAGTGGTTTCAGAGTAGTGGTGCTAGCCTGTGACCAGGTTGTTAAACAGTAAGTGATATGGGAACCATAGCAAACATGTATGTCTTAGCTGCCTCTGTTGACATGTAGTTTCATGTGAATCTGAAATTTGATAGATTAAATTTGACCCGGTTACAGACCTTTTTCACCTGAGATTTGAATGACAATTTGGAATCAAAAAGTACTCGGAGATACTTGTAGTCAGGTACAACCCGTACCTCTCCCCAGATACAGAAACATCCGGCTCTACACTACCACAGTTTGTTTTGGTAAGAAACATACACACTGTTTTGGATACGTTTAGTTGTAAACAGCATTGCTTTAACCATGCAGTTACATGAGTCATGGAGTTAGTGAGTTAATTTGCAACTTGTCCCATTGTGCTACCATGTAAGTAAATCACATCTGCATACATTTGGATGTTGGTGTCAGGGCATGCTGATGGCAGATCATTGATATATAAAGAGAACAGCAGTGGGCCCAGGACAGATCCTTATGGGACGCCTGTGGACAAGTGGAGGGCGGTAGATTGATAGTTCTGTATTTGGACATACTGTGATCTATTTAGCAAATACGATTCAATCCATTTAAGTGTACCTGAGGAGAAATTGTAGCTGTGCAACTTGAACAAAATAATACGATGATTAACAGTGTCAAATGCCTTCTTGAGATCAAGAAACACAACTCCAACAACTCCCCCTTTGTCCAATAGAAATTAGATTTTTTTTTCTGTGAAGAAACAGGTGGCTGTCTCAGTAGAATAATTGGCTCTGAAGCCGAATTGCATTGGGTGAACGGCAAAATAACTGGTATTCAAATTGCAGATCATTTGCTCAGCTACCAACTTCTCTGCAACTTTTGATATTGTTGGCAGGATACTGATGGGTCTGTAGTTACAGGTCGAAAGGGGATCTCCATCTTTGAATACTGGAACAACAGCAGCCGACTTCCAAACACTGGGAAACGTGCTCTGAGAGATTGAGAGGTTGATGATTTTGCTGATGGGATCTGTTAGTGTTGTGCTAAGTTCTTTGAGCATAACTGCATCCATGCCAAATACATGACTGAACTTACTCTAGAGCTTCATATCACTGTGCTTTTCAAAACTGTTACAAATTATTGTCAAAAAATTATAATTTTGCTATGACATGACAACACTATGGTTAAGGTTAAGGCACAAAAACTACTTGGTTAGGTTTAGGTTTGTTGAAGTTCGGGAACCTTTGTCGTCATGGTTACTGTAATGAACACCATCATGGTTATGCTAAAACAGGACGTTGACTGTCAATTGGAAAAGAACAGCCGCCTCTCGTGTTTTGTTGATCCATCCATTTATATACTGTAACTTCACCTGACTCCCCCCTTCCCTCCTGTTATAATTACGTTTAGTATTACAAACACTGCAACCTGTTTCTTTGTCTTTAACCGGTTTTCTCTAATTTTACCTCCACTTTGCATTCTCAAACACTCTTCTGTCAGACTTCTTTTACTCATCGTTACTTTTTCATCTCCACCCTTCTAACTACTTGTCTTATCTCTTTCTCCCACCTGTCTTTCAGTGGGAGGTTTTAAACTCACTTTGTCATTGTGCTCCATCTATGTTGTTGTTTTTTTTCTCAAATCAGATGTTTGGCATTTATCTGTGGAGGCAGTGGGTGGGAATTTGGCAGATGTTGTTTACACCAACAGACATTCATCAAGTCATTTTGCTGCCAACCTTTGTTCTCCCTTCAGTGAACGCTCACTGGGTGGCCTAGAAGCCTCTAAAACTTCCAGTTTACTCAAACACACAAAAACTGACGGATGATTTCAGCTTTACTTGTGCTACGAACGCACAACTGTGACCTGTTAAAGATGTTTCACTGTGCTTGAAAGTTATGGTTGGAACGAAGTAACTACTAAGAAGTTACTTCACTATTTTACTTAATAAGGAATTTCTGTTGTGAATTTAATAGCGTACATGCTCAATTGAAAATCATTTTGATAATAAATCAAATATAATATATACTGTATATATGTGAAAATGTTTAGCTAAAAGTAAGGATTTAATATTTGAATAAATACTTTTCAAACAATATATATAATTCCGTGTAAATTACTAGGAACATAATGCATGTTTAAGTCTAAATGCAAGGTGTTGTTTACCCAAAACTCTTGAAACCATAAAGGTTGACACAAAGTGTATGCTGTTAGTGAGGTATGCAAGCAAGTTAACCTCTTGCTTTGTGTATTAAAGGCTGACATGTTAATTCAGCCCTGCTGTTTAGTAAAGAACCCCGTGGTCTAGTCTAGAATCTTACTTTGTCATTTGGAAAGTATTTAGGGTTAGTATTTTTATTTCTTATAATGACTATTTTTATAATGTGGTATGGCTATGAGTCCTTTACACTACTGTTCTTAAGGAATATCAGGACTAAAGGCAACCATGACGGCTCGGATAATTCCATCTAATTATGGCACGAGGCATAAGGCTGCTCGTCTGTTTTTCTTTCTGTTTATTATGAGATGCATCAAATATGTTAGCCTCAACGTCAAAGGTACAAACTACGTGGTAACGTGTCAGAAATTGGTTTGAAGTGATCTTTGCCAGGTACCGGCAATCCTTATATACCACATACTTGCTTTTAAGTACAGGGAAAGACAAGGAAGGGCATTTTGTATTAATATCAGGCTGCCTCATTGGGGATAATATTGTAATAGGATGTGTTAACACAACTACAGTGTTTGCACAATTATTCCTTCCAAGGCTACTGGCTAATATTCCATTACTTTCTTCTTTTTTAACTGTGTTTGAACCCAATGTTGACGAGCCAATCCTAAGGGATTTGTCACAACCTCTTCGGTCCTTCTCTAGGGGGATGATTTTCTTCCATGACATATTACTGTCTTATTAGCACAACTATTATGATCGTTCTTGTAGACATTGGCGCTTCAACTCTCATTTAATGAATAATCCCCAGTTTATCAAGTTATTACTGAAGAGCTGGAATTGTTTTTGATGGTGACTAAAATGGCAGTTTTATGAGGAAAAGCTAAGTGCTATCTAAGAGGGGCTATCGTGCGCTCCCACAGAGAAAGTCATCCTAAGAATTGAGGAAAAGAAGTAAGAGATAGGCAGGCAGATAACAGAGATAGAAGTTTTGGAGGCCAATAACAGGAAAAATCCTGATGGGTTCGGCCCAGAATTTCATTAGATCCCCCAGCAAAAATCATTGGGCCACTGACAGATATGTTCTGGCATTCTTAATACTGGTCAGTTGGCCCAATCTCTCAACTTGGCCAACATATCCCTTATCCTGAAGAAATGCAAACCACCAAAGAACCAGAGAATGGCCCATACTGCCCTATTAGACTGATTGGAGTTGATGGTAAAAGATCCTCCAATCTGGAAGTACCTCAGAAAGTATTTTCCTGAGCATTATCAATTTGGACCAGACCAGATTGACAATCCAGAATTGGCTCTTGACATCCAGTATCAGATGACATCTGAACGTGCTTCCCTTACTAAACTATTTAGCTGATTTCGACAATGTTAGATTTCAGAAAGAGACTTCCCTGAACAAACAACTAAGAAAATAGAAAAATGTTTATTTCTTTTAATAAGAAAATAGAAAAATAGAAATATATTTATTTCTCTGTACGGTTCTTTCCATAATGTTGTCAGACACTTTTAATAACAGTCTTTGCCTGTTTGTAGCAAAAACAAGCCCTTTTAGTGGACGTGTATTGATGGTGACGATGGTGTTCACCTTCAATACTGGACCAATCTCAAAAATGGTTGTCCCCATTAGTCACTCAGATACAAAAACATGAGAAAATAGGGTTGAAAAATACCAAAACTTACTAGAGTTGTATTTCAGGAAGGTATTCCTACGTCTTTTCTGCAACTTCAGTAACAGTTTGAAATACTTATTGAACAATTTATGGGGGTATCTGCAAATACCTAGCATGATGTCCTTTTTTGGGACAGAGTGCGGGTACATTTCGCTGAACAGAAAAGTAATGTGACGAAGCCTATAGGTGGTGGACTGACCAATTGACCATTCACAAATTACCAACATGGCCACCCCTAGAGTCCCGTGCTGACATGGCTAAAAACTGAAGTCACTTTATCTGTTCTAGGATGCAACGCATGTTAAGAAATATTTTACAGATACATAAAGCTGCTGAACAGTGCAGAGGGTAGTACAGACACACAGCTCCCTTCTCAGTGCTCCCTGTGTTCTTTTCTTTTCTCTGCCTTCTCCTAACTGACCCCTGTTCTGTTTGTTTTGCCTGGTCTTTCTCCCTGCAGGTTCCAGTGTCCTCAGTTGCCCGAACACTCCAAGTTAGTTTTCATCCCTCTTGTTTTTTACTAATGCTTCCTCCCATTCCTGCCATTTGAACCAGAGCCCTTTTGTTTAACTCTATCACCTTCTCTTATGGTCTGCCCATGTCAGCCATTCACACCAAATGGTTGTAATTAAAACTGAGATTTGAAATGAAATACAGTAGAAAGACATTGAAACAAATATCAGCGTAAGATGCTGTGGGTACTCTTACACTCCAGCCACCCTTCCTACTTCCTACTCACCTATTGCATTATGGGATTTCTTTAACCAATCAGCATGCTCGTTGACGCTCACATCACCAGTGTGGTTATGGTATGCTGTTGAAGAGCTGCACAGTCATACATCATCCTTCTGCTCACCACGCAGCACCCTCACTGTCACCACACATTACCGTGACCAGTTAGCTCCGAGCCTTCAACATACATCCGCACTCTAGTTACATTGTCCAGTTCGTGTGTGTGTGTGTGTGTGTGTGTGTGTGGTGTGTGTGTGTAAGATGGACTATACTTATCACTTCACTTCTCACTGCAGGGATGAGGGAACATCCTCCCATCGCTATTTGTGACCTGGCAGACTACATAGAGAGGCTCAAGGCCAATGATGGTCTGCGCTTCTCTCAGGAGTACGAGGTAACGTCCTGCTCTTATACAGTACATGGCTTTCAGGTGAAGCAACACACTCTTTTCAACCATAGTCAAAGTCTTTTTTTTCTTGGTAACAATTTTTGAGCTAGTTTTATGAAGAACGTTTAATGAAAAGATAGGAAATGACTAATTCCTGTGGTGTTTATATGATTGAGAACTGAAATACATGGTAATTGGTAAATGGACTCGTACTTCTATAGCACCTTTGTAGTCTTCCGACCACTCAAAGCGCTTTTACACTACATGTCATTTACCCATTCAGACTCATGGGCTAACATGCACGGTGCCACCTACCCATCAGGACCATAGACTGTATATCAGAAGTTGATGACGTCACCCATTGGTTTGTGGACTGATGTTTTGAAGGATAGAGTTCGGCGATTTTGCCCATTGCCATTTTAGATTACAAGCGTTGCCATCTTGGCTTTTTGCAAACGTAGAGATGCCGTATACGGCTCTGGTAGAGACCTGTCAATCACTGTGTAGCCCCACCATAAAGCATCCCCTGCTTTATGGTCTGTTTGACTCTAAATGGACCATAATGTAATAAATGAACATCATGCTGTATTGAAGGAGACTTGAAACTAGAGTTTGAGACCATAAACTCATGTTTACAATGTTTACTGAGGTAATAAATCAAGAGAGAAGTAGAGTAATTTTCGTCTATACAATCAGACTTATTTTTGCAACTGGAGGAGTCGCCCCCTGCTGGTCAGTAAAAACAATTTTATATTTTACTTTATACGTTTTAAGACACTTGCGCATCTGATTCACTCGCCTGATCAGGACTAACTAACATTCATGCACGAGAGGCACAGCCTACAGAAGCACCCGTTGTTTTTATGGTTGTCTACACTGTAAAAATACAGAAGTTGAGAAAACTCAAATTAATAAGAAAACCAGCTTCAAGGTTTTTTTGTTTCCAATAGACTCAACTTCAGTTCCAGCTAATTGTGTCAATAACGTTGGAGACTTTTTAATCCTCCACGTCAGCAATAGTCGTGGCAGGAGGCCTTGTGTTTTTGGCCTGTCCGTCTGTCCGGTCCACTCTCAGATATCTCAGGAACGCCTTGATGGAATTTCTTCAAAGTTGGCACAAATGTCCACTTGTATATTCAAGGATGAACTGATAAGAATGGTGGTCGGAGGTCGCTGTGACCTCACTAAACATGTTTTTGGCCATAACTCAAGAATTCATATGCTAATTATGACTATTTCAAACAAAAGTCTAATAGTATAAAATTACTTTTTGAAAGACATGGATATGAAGTGCAATTCGACTGATTGGCGGAGGTATACAACCACAAGGCGGTAATTCTAGCTTATTATTAACAAACTACCAACTTTGGTTTGTTAAACTTACAATTACTAGTTCTGTCAGTGTCAACTAGTGACAACTTGAATGTTTTAAAGAAGACAAACTTAACAAGTTGAGTTGAGTCAACAACAGATTCAGTCATATTGTATTTAGACTTAATTTTTTTACTTTCCCATTTTCCAAGCTTTAGCTGTGATTCATTACAAAGTCAGAAGGTTCTGTTAACCGGTTTGTAGTAGTGTCGTGTGTAATTAAATTAAAGTTCATAAAGTCAGGTCTTTTAATTTCAAATGATAAGTTTAAAGTTAAAAGTTTAATTTACTTTAGAAACACTGAAAGCATATACTCCCCAGCATGCTTTGCATTGAGTGAACAAATCCTAAATGTTTCTAATTTAGGTAAAGTTACGTAATGGAGACTATAGTGCATCTTTTTACATGTACCTCAGAAGTCTTTTATCTGATCAAAGCTAAAACATGTAATCAACAGATATTGTCCACTATGCAGTCACTCCACCATACTCTCTCTGTATATAGAAACTATATAAGCAGAAAATATATGATACTCATTAGGGATCGAATTAGACTCTTTAGCAAATAAACTTAGACAAACTTTAAATTTCAGGTAGATTCAATGTAGATTGTATTTATTTTTGCTAAGAGTAAAATTTACAGGAGTGAAAACTCAAAATTTGACAAACTCAATTATAAATTATATTTTGTCAAAATGTGTTGCTTTGAAAAAGACTGCTTTCAACTTTGTCACAGTTACAGCAGAAATGTAAAACATAATTTTCAAACCAGCTGTCTAATACTTTGAAGTAGTTTGAAAAGACAGAAGATTTTGTCTTAATTTGGCTGTTATGTCTGCTTGAGCTTGGAGGCTACAAAGTAAACAGCTACAGAGAGCATGCATTACACCAGGCTTTTGCCAGGCAGGGAGTATCTGAGTATCTAATAAAAATACTCACTCGAGACGCATCATGGGAAATGTAAGGCCCAGCATTTTTGGAATGTGATCAATGTTGGGGACAAAATATCACCCTCTGCTGCTTCGATTTTGGCCTTTTTTACGTCTCTTGCAAGACCACAACTTTATGAAAATACCAATTATTTTATGGTGCAATAAGAAAATGTCAAACACCCAGTTGTCTTTTTTCTTAAAAGCCAATATTTACATGCTCTTGATTTATTAAAGCTGATCATAGTGTAAACTTTTTTGTGAAGAAAAGAAAAAGAAAGACAATAAAGAAAACTAAATAAAGCATGTATTTATTCTAGTCAGGGTAGAATGCCTCTGAAATGGCAACTCAGGGGCTGGCAAAGGGTCCACTGAGCCAGAAATATGAGCAAGTTACATATAGGCGAGCAACTCCTTCTGGCAAGGTGACACAGGTTCATCTGAGTGTTTTGAAACTGGTAAAAACAATATAGTATGCAGTCCATTTTCATTCTGTTGACCTACAGGTTTCTTTTTCTTGATGTTGGAAATTGCTTTTTGTTTCAGTCAGGCCAGAGATGAATATATATTTTCTCATGGCCATCAAGAAAATCTCTATTTTCTCAGTAAAATACCGAACACAGTACATTTTCCAGGCCAATTTTTCCCATGATGTGTTTCTACTCATGTATCGAGCTGCTTACTGTTGCAGAGTTAAAGTTCAGCATTGTTAAAAAAAAAGAAAGAAAAAAAAAAAGGATGCTGCTAAGTGTGCATAAATCTGTGCCTCCTTTCCAAGAATAATATCCCACTGCCTTTACCTACTGTAAAAGCCAGTGAGGGATTATGGCTTGTTGATGTCCTACAAAGGAAGGTAATTTGCATTTAAAGTGGTGAATTTCCAAACGGATAAACCAGGACAGATGGGTGCACTGTTTATGCACCCCAGAAGGAAGGGGGTATATAAATTATGAAACAGCAGCTGAATCAACTTTTGTACCTTTCCAACTTTTTTCTTATCCGATGTGGTGACATGGATGGAACTTTGCGGAGACAGCTTAGAATATTTTGGTGAGCCAAGCAAAATGTGTCAAATTCAGATGCAACAGATGAAATGTTTGGATTGGATGATATTGAGCCAAATCCTCAATGATAAGCATGCATACTTGTATTTACTATTCTAATAATAGAAATGATTACTTGATCATTAATAAAAACTGTTATTTTGAAATCCAAAAATATAACACATGGCCCATGGCAGTCCCATCAAAAACGGTATCGGTGAGAAGGCTCAACCCTGTCTCTCAAGCACACACACTCACAGATCCCATTGACTTACATTCATTTCCTCAGGATTCACCGCAACTTTAACCACGACTTGCCTAATCCTTACCCAACCCTTAAATCAAGTCTTCACCCTAAAATGTAATAAGTTATGTCATAGGGACTTGCATTTTGGACCCAAAAGGAAGCAGAGTCCCCACACTGTGGCTGTGTAAACAGATTTATGTCCCCACAACATGAGTAATACACACACACACACACACACATATATTGTATGTCCTCCTGCGTCCTGTTGCATTGGAACTACCAGCCATTAGTCTATAGTAAGAGCAGCAGGGCTTGAAATGAAAAGCTGATAATGGCTGTGTTTAAAATGAGATCTGCCAGAGGATCTCACAGCTTGTTACATCTGATGAATGAGCCAGTCTGTTTGGGGACTACTGGAGACCACTTCATATACTGCACATGGACTCTGAAACATTTCTTCTCTTCATCACATAATAATGATTACATCTATGTCTTAGCTGTATCAATGGTTTGCGCTAGTAAAACTTAGTTTTGGCCATTTACTGAGCCTCAGGGCTTCTTCTCACAGCTCTTTTGAAGTATCTGTTTTGTATCTGCATTTGCAAGACTCTGCTGTGAGTTGGCTGGAGCTTTGGTATGTGTCGTGTTGTTTAACAGTGCTAAATTCGAAATTCAGAGCATATTTATGATTGAAGTATTGCCTCCAAAAGGCTCTCAACATGGCGACAGCTGAGCCGGTGGCTGAAAGCGCACAGTGCTAACAGCAAAAACAGTGCAAGCGACAGTGTTGACAGAGCTAACAGTGTTTACCTGAGGGGGAACAGGTGGGTGGGTGATAAGTTTCTGCGACGACGCCGTGTATTAGGAATGGCGTTATCAGCGGTAACCGTCTCAAGAGAGCTGTGCAGAGAGGCAGTGATTAGCTAGCTAGCTATTTACAAACTACGAGAGCGGTCTTTTGTGAGACTGGCTGGCTAGTTAGCTAGCAACCCCAGCAGGCGCTAGCTTACTGTCGTGCCGGTTTATGGAGCGTCTCAACATAGAAAACATTTTCAAATTGCCATCAATTAGGAAAAATATAGTAAAACTGCCAATATTTGAAATCTACACAGTTGATTTCTTGCCTCAAAAATGATCATAAATTAAACTAATAATGAATTACAAAAAATTGTAACTAATGAATGTAATAAAAAAAGACACCAGGTTTGGTCACTTGTCTCTGCTTTGGTACTCTGCCCTCAGATATCATAGGCTCTCTTTCTTATTTTAGAGGGGTGGAAAATTGTGCATTTTGTTGTTTAATGTGGAGGACTTGTTGGGTTTTTACTGTACAGCAAGCAATAATCATGAACACGCATATTGTCAGTACATTCGTATTTCTTTGTTTATGGTACAGGAGACAACATGTAGAAATGTATATCAGTGTACATTTAGATGCAAACATTTGAAGTTACAGAAAGGATCAGAAAAAACAATCTGATTTAAGCCAATAGTGACTCCTGTAAAGTGTATTAAAGTGATTGATTAATATCCTTAACTCAGTGAACAAGGCAGCAGGTGGTGAGAGTGAACCCGTCTCTGCCAGACACCAATCCACATGCTTCACGCCTGGCTCTTCCTCCGCGTTCACCAGCTTTGTTTGTTGTCAGTGGAGCTGCAGCTCTGTGAGTGTGATTGCGCTGACACACTCGGTAAGCGATCTACACGTCGGCGGAGCACATTAGCAGTAATGTGAGTGGTTTGTCAGTGCAGCGCGCTGGAAGCCTTACCTAACAGGCTGTTAAATAAGATGTGCATTCAACCTCTTTCTCCATTGTCATTATTATCAGTTGCAGACTGGGGGGCGTCCAGCCAGTCAGGAGAAAAAGCAACAGGATATTAGAGTCCTCGTCACGGCTTCATTTCGCCCGTGCATGTGGGTGTGTGTTTGTTTTCCAGATGATGCAAGATAAGTAGAAGCGTGAAAGGTCAATCATGAATAACAATCTTCAGCATGTCATTATTCAGCTAAACCTGCGGCGGCATTCACAGCCTGCAATCGATAGAGACCAATCATCGGGCAACATAGCGAAAACCTGTCTGCACTCTACCATCACTGCAACACAGGCGTGGGTTTTCCATCTCGAATACAGCAGGGATTTAAGAGTACAAATAAGTAGAAAATACTATTTAGACAAGCATCTTTCACCATCTGTTTTTTTTATTGCAACACAAAAAACAGAACACTAACAGGTGCACGACTAAGACAAGAACAGTGAATACAGGCCAGTTAACCAAATAAGAGAACAAGGTGATGTTAGTTCTGGTTGTATAGAAGTTTATGAGAAAATGACTCTACTTCTCTCTTGATTTATTACCTCAGTAAACATTGTAAACATGAGTTTATGGTCTCAATCTCTAGTTTCAAGTCTTCTTCAATACAGGATGATGTTCATTTAGTAAATGATGGTCCATTTAGAGTCAAACAGACCATAAAGCAGGGGATGCTTTAGGGCGGGGCTTACTGTGATTGACAGGTCACTACCACCTACCAGAGCCGTATACGACGTCTCCTGGTCACTCCTCCGCATTCCAAATACAGTCACTTCCGTTCATCGGTTGCAAAAACAACAACATGGTGACTGGTGATATTATAACGATATTAGTATGGAATATGTGTTCTAGACGTGTTATACCTTTTTCAGTCTATGGGCAAATATTAAAGGGTCAGTGTGTAGCATTTTGCGGGATCTATTAGCAGAAATAGAATATAATCCTCATAACTATGTTTTCATCAGTGTGTAATCACCTGAAACTAAGAATGTTTGTGTTTTTCTGAGCTTACAATGAGCCCTTCATACCTACATAGCGAGAGGATCCTCTTTACGGAGTCCACCATGTTGCACTGCCACGTTTCTACAGTAGCCCAGAATGGACAAACCAGACACTTGCGAGAACCTTTCCCGTTTATATGTTACCTGAAGGCCACATACACTGCAGTAAAGTGTAAAACCGTGATACCACCAGCCACCATCTGACTTCTCCATCAGTAGTGTTATTATGGTAATGAGGGCCTCTGAGCGAGGCCAACGGTTTTGCACTCTGCGGCTCACATTACCGCAGTCTTGGAAAACGAGGTTGGACAGAGAGGTACTCAGTTGGTTGCAATCTGTAGCCTCACAAGATCCTACACACTGTGCCTTTAAGTCATTTCGTATTACTCCATACAAATCAGCATCTGTTCTAACCTCGTGTTTCTCTGTGTGGAAACCCACAATCACATCTCTGTCCGTTGTTGAAGAGATTCAAATGAAAGTAGTATGAAGAATTGAAGCAACGAAACAATATCTGTAGAATATTTATCAAATGACCGATGTATGTAACTCGCCAGAGAAACGCAATGACTACTCTGTCCTCTCCATAAAATATACAGCTTACCATATATTTCAACTAATGCCATGTTGAAAAAAATGTGGATGAGAATACCATTTTCAAGTATTCAAGCATCATAAAATCACAAGTATTGGTCAAAGTGGAATTTTGACCTGACTGGTGGTGCCAGAAGAACAGTCAGACGCCCACAGACATGCCCACATGTGGATCGAAACATGCTCAACGCTCTCTACCTCTCCACAGCTGTGCTTTCCACGAGGTTGCTAGTCCGTGTTTTCATGCAGCGACCCAATCTCAACTGAGTTATCACTGTTTTTATCTGCTGTCACTTTTGGCTGTGTTGAGAAATACAAATCTGCCACAAGTCCTTATCTGTTCCCTCTTGATATAATGCTAGTGGTCCTGCATCACTCAACCTAATGTATGCCATGTTCCTCCAAAATCTTTCTGCATTGCTTTGCCTTCATCACTGGATCTGTGCTTTGTTATAATCAGGCACTGAGCTGCTAGGGACGAAGGCTGGAAGGGATTTAGTAGTGTCCAAACAGTCCAGTGTGTATCCAGGGGGCTTAAAGATCATCCAGGGCTTTTCACATTATAGAGCCGCAGGCCGGTGGAGGGATGACGAATTAGCTTCTGTGTCACATTTATTGGTCCGGACTATACGCTCCAAGCTCTGACTGGCTTTAAAAAGCAGCAAAGAATATTGGCAGTATTGTAATGAATGGTTACCTGCTCTCTCTCCCTCCCTTCCACCTCTCTCTCCATCCCTCCCTCCTCTGTGTGTGAAGTCTGTTGATCCAGGACAGCAGTTCACCTGGGAGCACTCCAACCTGGAGGTCAACAAGCCAAAGAACCGCTATGCAAATGTTATTGCCTACGACCACTCCAGGGTCATCCTCACACCTGTGGACGGTGAGAGACACTTATTCAGACATCTCAAGAGAGGCGACTTTGCAAGCCTTTATTTCAAACATGCTTATTTAAGAGTTAACCCTTTGTTTTTGATTTGTAAGTGTACTTCATTATATTTTAGTGAGAAACGCAGTTGTTTCATTATTGGCTCCCCTCTGAATTTGCTCACTCCGACTTGTTCCTCACGGCAGGAGTTCCAGGCAGCGACTACGTCAATGCCAACTACATCGATGGCTATAGGAAGCAGAATGCCTACATCGCCACACAGGGGCCTCTGCCGGAGACGCTGAGCGACTTCTGGAGGATGGTGTGGGAGCAGAGGACCTGCACCATCATTATGATGACCCGCCTAGAGGAGAAGTCACGGGTAACCTTTACTCTATGCTTTGAAACACTATGTACACAACCAAGAAAGTACATCATTACCTTCAGCTACTCTTGCTATAACTCATAAAAATGTTTTTCCCGTGGTAAAGAAGAGTTTGGCTCTGCAACAGCGTCATGCTGCTGGTGGACATAAGGGAAGAGGCATTCACAGACAGCCACATGGCAGATGAGAGCTACCAGGGCAGGGACAGTTTTCATGAGTAATGATTTCAGCCCTCTTTCACATTGTTAGTAACTCCACAATCAAGGGGCAGAACTGAGTGCCCCGGCTGTGTGGCATTATTATTTGTGACAGAGACCGTCAGCCCTCTGCCGGAGCCAATAACACCAATCTGCGGTTCAACCGGAGGTGCAGGAAATATGAGGTGTTCTAACCTGTTCCCGAGGTAATGGATGCAGGCGATAACCAAACTGTTTCTGCCGGTGTGAGGGACTCATGCATTACAGTTTGCATGTCCCAGAAGCAATGCAGCAACTGTATGTTGAAAACCATGAGATTACAAACTTACAATTTTGAAGCAAGTCTACATTTTCAACAATTCAGAACAGTGTGCAAGTACACCCCACAACACAAATATGATGGACGGAAAAACAAACAACAATATTGCGACAATTTTTTGTTATTAATCATTCCAGAAAGTGGCTCAATGATATTCATTTTCGTGTCCTTGCGAAATAGCTGACGAAACGAACCTCCGGGTCGGAATATTGAAGCCAATGTGGAAGTGCCTTAAACTAGCATTCTTTGTAATGGCCATCAGGGGGCAAAAAAATGTCCGATTTCTAAAACGGCAAGACAGTTAGCAGTGTTGACTGGCTAGACTTGACAACATTACATTACAGTCATTTAGCAGACGCTTTTATCCAAAGCGACTTACAATAAGTGTATTCAACATCGGTTTTCAAGAGAACTACTAGTCACCAGAAGTCATAAGTGCATCTCCTTTTTTAAACAAGCATCTAAGAGCATAAACCAGAGCAAAAGCACAATGCAGAAACAAACGAATACAATAAGTGCAACAAACTAGTATGAATACAATAAGTGGTGAGTGGAAGGCTCAGGGTAGTACTTCTTGAAGAGGTGAGTTTTCAGCCTGATGAAAGATGGGTAGCGACTCTGCCGTCCTGACATCAGTGTGGAGTTCATTCCACCACTGTGGGGCCAGGACAGAAAACAGCCGTGACCGGGTCGATCGGCCGCAGGGACCTCTGAGCGACGGGGCAACCAATCGCCCCGAGGCAGCAGAGCGAAGTGGTCGGGTGGGGGTGTAGGGCTTGACCATGGCCTGGAGATAGGAAGGAGCTGTTCCTTTCACTGCCCTGTAGGCTAGCACCAGAGTCTTAAACTGGATGTGAGCTCTTATAGGGAGCCAGTGGAGAGAACGGACAAGGCAAGTTGTGTGGGAGAACTTGGGACAATTGAACACCAGGCGAGCTGCAGCTTTCTGGACCAGCTCCAGAGGTCTGATGGCCGACGCGGGGCTCCGGCAAGTAGTGAGTTGCAGTAGTCCAGGCGGGAGATGACAAGAGCCTGTATGAGCACCTGCGCCTTGTTGTCAGTGAGGAAGGGGCGAATCCTCCTGATGTTGTAGAGCAGGAATCTGCAGGAGCGTGTAACCGATGCAATGTTTGCTGAGAATGACAATTGGTCATCCAGGGTCACACCCAGGTTCCTCGCAGTCCGAGTTGGCGTCACCACAGTATCATCAATGGTGATGGACAGGTCTCGGTGCGGGTAACCCTTCCCCGGGAGGAACAGTAGCTCGGTTTTGTCCAGGTTGAGCTTGAGACAACACCAGGCTTGGATTCCTAGGTGTGCAAAGGGGGGCAACTGCTTGTGGGCCCCAGACCCTCATGGCAACAAACCACATTTTACAGTTATTAAAACCATATGGCAGTGAAAAAAATTAATTAAATCTCCACTAAAACTTAACATTACAACTACTACTACAACTACCACCTAAAAGCAGCTAATCTTATGTTGTCCTACCCACCTGGAAAACCTGCACTTAAAATTAAAGTGAGCTTGCCAGAAGTAGGCTGAAATGTGAAAAATAGGAAATTGAAAAATCAATCTTGTCCGAAAACTGCAGTGATAACTGGTGTCAGTAGGAGCAGTAAATCGTCCGGTCTGTCAAGGTTTCTACAGGCGGACAGGCATTTCCGACAGCAAAGTAACTCAGCTTGCTGAAGCCTCGTATTAGCTTTGGCTGGATTTTTGAATGACATAATGACTGTGGAATTATGGTCCCTATTTCTTGCTGTGTTGTCACACTATGAAGGTGTTCCCTCACAGTATGGAGATGAGGAATGTTTACAGCAATCAATCAACTCTTTTAACGTACACATGGCCAGTGGTGTGGTTGTGTCTTGGTCAGGCGGACTGGCTTTCATGTTAAGACAGCTTGAAGTCTCAGCATCTGTTGAGGTAATAGTGGTCTGTGTGGCATTGAGTCCGCCCTGATCAATCCGGTACCCTAAGACAAGACTTTAGCTGGCCCCGGGGGCATCGCAGCCAATTCCGCCACCAATCATTGTCTCCATACACTCACACAGAAACGGCATAGCTTCAAGTTCACACTTAAAAGAAGAGGTTATTCCCAAAACAACTGAATAGTCATTCCCCAATAAATTTAAGTTAACTCTAGCTATTTATTAAATTAGCAAACCTTACTATTGTCCAAATTATGCTCGTGGCACTCTGCTTGAATGGTATCTACAATGCAATACATTCCATTATCCAAACCGCTTATCCTATTCAGGGTCGTGGGGCGCTGGAGCCGATCCCAGCTGACATTGGGCAAAGGCAGGGTACACCCTGGACAGGTCGCCAGTTTATCGCAGGGCACATGTAGAGACAGACAAACATTCACATTCACGGGCAATTTCAAGTCTCCAAATAACCTAAGCTGCATGTCTTTGGACTGTGGGAGGAAGCCGCAGATCCCGGAGGGAACCCACACTGCCACGGGGAGAACGTGCAAACTCCACACAGAAGGACCGCCCGGATCGGGGATCGAACGGGCACCTCTTGCTGTGAGGTGACAGTGCTAGCCACTACACCACCGTGCAGCCCTCAATGCAATACATAAACTATTCGTTAATCACATTACCTGTCTCTTTTTTTTTCTTCCCTGTGGCCCAAGAGGACTTTTGTCTGTGTGACATGATACAGTATATTTGAGGCTACTAATGTCAATCGTATCAATGTCACACACTTACTCACTAAAATTATATGAGTTCAGAAATAGCATAAGTTAGAAATTTGGAAAAAAAAATCTCCTTAATTGGGGCACCCCTGTGAATGGATGGCGGCCATGCGGAAACCTGCGATGCTGAGTAATGAAGCCAAGCGCAAGTGCCAAAACCTGCAGTTCATCAAATGGCTCCAAAATCAAGTCAATCCTCATAGACCTCCATGTTAAAAATGCCCAACTTTACAGCAGATATAAACATATTTACAGCCTGGTACAAAAAACTATTATATTATATCATTCAACAGTTTAAATTAAATTGAGGCTTAAAGTTGAGCATAATTAAGTGCGTGGCCACCTCAGCTTCACCTACAATCTCCTTCTCTGCCCATCTTTAGGGAGACAGGTTGCTTCATCACTGCTCACTTTGAGCTTCACATGGGCTCTTCAGAAACCTATGGGTGACGTCACAGAGACTACATCTACAGTCTATGATGGTGCCCTGCGCATTTGGAGCTACAACACGTTCTCCTTCGAACTCGTCTCATACTGATCAGCACCATTTGCATCACTTTCTAACACACGGTCGCAGTAAACATGATTAAACTCCTGCTTAGGGTTAGGCAACAAAACCATTTAGTACTTTTTCAGAAAATATTGTGTTTTAGTTTCAAAATACATTTCTAAAGTGAACTGAAATGTAACGTTGTGACCATACATTGTTGGTTTCACATAGGACACAAACACAGGTCTCCTGGGTGATAGACCCGTGTTTGTTTGACCCATCCACCTCTCCTATCCTATGTGTCTTTTTGGGGGGTTTTATACTACATCATAAGACTCCTGGAGCATTTCCTCTAAGTGTCTCACAATGAGGTGGATGGGTTTACATTGTAGTTACTTGAAAGCCAGGTATGTCACTTACAGATGCTTAAGGGTGTCTTGTGCGTTGGTATCAGATGCTGAGGGGCGTGACAAAGCGTCGGTATTTGACACCCTGGGAATAGAACAGGCTGGCCTATACTGACTATGCCTAGAGCCATCTCTACCCCCACAGATCAACACATACCCACATGGTTTACAGGAGTGCCAGTGTAAAGTCCTAAACTAACGTGTAATGTATAACGTATAATAAAGTAAAGTTACGTCATTACGTCCACCTCATCATCACATTCTTGCAGCTTCCCTTCCACAAAGACATTAGTTCCTCAAACAGTGCTTCTCTTCAGGCTAGGTGCTGTTTTACAGATAAACCATGTTTCCCAGCAGTAGGTGCTGCCTTAAACACTGAAGTCAGAGAGGGTTTTCATGTGGACAACTTGGATTGTTAGTAGTAGAGAGGATGTGAACCTTATGTCACTTGGGTGAAAGTCACACACTTTGTACGCCAGGTTTTGCAGCGCTACAGCATCACATTAGAAATGATCACACAAAGGACAGCCGTTATTCACGGGACTACAAGAGGTAGCTGGTCAAGAACATGCAACCGTAGGCCGCCGTCGTTCGAACAAATGACTGACGCTGTTGTTGCTCTAATGAGGGCCGTCTCTCAGATCTCCAGTCATCTTTTTGCCTGTAACACTTAATGAGCCGTGTGTGATCTGTCCAGGTGGTGAACTGGCATTTCACACCACTTTGCCCAAAGGACGTTGTGCTTAGCCACAGGCCTTGCCAAACAACCTCCACCCCCCACACCGACACCCGCACCCAGGTCTGTGATGCGCAACCTCCCCTGTCTGTCAGGCCAGTTTCCTGCAGCCTGCCCTCAAGTCATCACTTTTGTCCACAGTCAGTGTAAGAGCCAAATTCAATGTGCTGTTAAATATTCACTTGTATATACATGTTAAAATTTAATGACATCTGTTTCTACTTTGAATGTTACAAGGATGTCGTTATAATTTGTTATAGTAAGGAATACATGTAAGTGACAGACAACTGTCACTTTAAGGTCACTTTGCGACAGTTACTGACAGTTGTGAGTAATATCTGAAGCAGTATGGAGCCGCACAGTTTTCCGACCTTGTTATGAAACGTGTTATATGAAACGTGCTATGTGGACTAACCTGGGGATCCTTAAAGTGTGTCGAGGTAATCAGGGTACTTTTAGGAATAAAGGAAGTCGTTTCACTAACTTGTACGAAGGAAATTGGATCAATAAAGACACGTATTGCTTTCATCTATGAGCGGTGTCGGTGTGAGCTATGTGCTAAGGACCAGAAACACTTAAGGTTTACATTCTGCTAAAGATCTGAACGCTACAGTCAGGGCCATAAGTATTTGGACTGTGACACAATTTTTCTAATTTTGCCTCTTTACACGAATCAGTCAATATGTGGTTGAAGTGTAGACTTTCAGCTTTAATTCAATGGATAAAACTAACATATTACATGAACCGTTATGGAATTATGGCCATTTTTTTACACCACCCCCCACATTTTCACACTTATGGCCCTGACTGTATGTTGCTGCACCCCCTGTCATCCATCCATCGCACAGCCAACAGTGGAATAACAACAGCAACACCAACAGGGCACACACTGGTTGTACCAATTTGTTCTATGACTCTTTAATCTGAACGTTTAAATTCTGCATCACTTCCCACACCGAAAGTGCATGTGTAACTTTTGCTTGTATGTGTATTGCTTTTACTCGCCCTGTTCAAGGGAAGGGAGTCCAAAAGAGCTCATTAGGAAACCAGTGGGTGCTATATTAGTGCTAATTTAAACTCATTTTGTCTGTGCAGCAGCAGCGGGCAGCTGTTTTCAAAGATCAGGCTCTTAAACCCCACTGTACACTACCCGCAGCAAACACTCTCTATCCATCAGCTCAGCCTGACTACTTACTTAAAGTGGAACTCCACAGAATTTACACTTTGAAATCTGTTTCTATTTGTTGTGGAGAAATGGTAAAAGGTTGGTGAATGGACTTGCATTTATATAGTGCCTTTTTAGTATTACTACCACTCATAGTGCTGTACACTACATTTCAACGTTCACACACCTGCTATACTTGCAAATATAAGCTATATGAAGCATTCATTATCTCCAGGGAGCTGTGTGATGTCTGGTAAATGTCCTTAAGTGATGTCACTTGAGTCATCGTCGGTTTTATGTTTAAAGACCTACTGCTTATGTGACAGTAGTTACAACTGCCAGTAGGCAACAGTGCACAAGAAAAAACAACCTACAGTTAAGCTTACATACCAAGTGCTATTAACCTTTTTGTCACGTTGCTGCCATCTGCTAGACTGGACCAGTGGAACCGCCTTCACAGGCAAAAAACACTTAGTTAGGTTTAGGTAGCTGCTTTACATTGCAAAGGGGAAGCCGCAGACAGTGAAAACACGGCATCTTTCCACGGACCGTTGTTCTCCTCTGTTGTCCTTCATAGCGCTATGCTAGTAGCGGCATGGATTCTGCTCAACACTTCCACACTTTGAAATGCGAATTGAGCTTCCAGAGCATCTGTAGAAATCAGAATTAGAATCGCATTTCAAACCACCTCCACATGCGGTTTGGATCAATTTGCAAAAATAGCATTTCATGTGGGTTTTTTGTCCAGACTTGCTCAAATTAATCTCGATACAATCTAGATATGCCAATAACGTTTCTTTATTTGAGGTGGAAGTCTGAACACGGCCAAAATGTCAATTTGACTTTTCGTTTCTCAAGGGACAAAAACAGAGTGGGTGGAAATCTTGTGTTTGTTTGACCCATGCACCAACACCCCCACCCAGCCTCAGCGGACTATCGTGCATTTTGTACTACCTCAGGTGCTCTGAGCATCTGATAATGACGCATGTAGGTTTTCATTGGACTTAGTTGAAGGTACGGTGTGACGCTAAAGGGTACCAGACGCACTGACAGGAACGGCTCTTCACTGGCTACACAGCCAGTCGGTCATTGTCCCATTGTCTACCTGCTTTCTACACCCATTTACTTGTATCAGATGTAGGCAGTTTGTGTTGAAATTATTGCATTGCATAGCTAGGACAGCAGCCATTTGGAAAAAGAATACAAAATATACTAATTTTAGTGTTCAATTTCATAGTGTATGAATTCACCTGAAGTAATATCGAAATGCTAAAAAGTTATTCCTTTTTGGGGATCATGAATGTCCACAGTTATTCATGTCAATCTGACAAGTAGTTGTCAACATATTCCGCCCTGTACCAATGTGTGGAATGGATTTATGGACAGATTGATGGTGAGGAGATCTGACCAACATCACCAAGCCAGAACTGTAACCAAATATACCAATCCTTCTCACCACTCAGTTCTATTCTCCGCTTTCTGTCCCTATAACGTACACATACCACTATTGTTTGAGAATAAAAACACTTTGGTTTGTGTCTGTGTGCAGGTGAAATGTGACCAGTATTGGCCCAGTCGAGGCACAGAGACATATGGGATGATCCAGGTGACCATGCTGGACACTGTGGAGCTGGCTACGTACAGCGTACGCACATTCGCCCTCTATAAGGTGAGATCCCATACTGTATACCGTATACTAACCCTAACCCTCGAAAAACTTTCAACGCAACACAAGTCTGAATTGAATGCAGTCAGATTCAGGTAAAAGCTGCAGCAGCACATTTGAAGCATGCATACAAAATCTGTTTCATCAACAAGGAAATATCATACAACAGCCAATTTTAAGTTGAGTCTCAGATCCCATCATTCTATAACATGTCCCCCTCGCTGTGCGACTGGAGCAGAAGAGGCTGTTGGATATTATGGAACAGGCGGTGAAATTTGCTATCCAATATCTAGTAATGATAATGTATCAGTTGATTCCCGAGCTGAAATGGCCAAATACATTCATCAGTGATTCAGCCTGTGAGAGAACAAAAAGACCCTTCTTCCTCGCTGTCATAACATCTTTAAGTCTCTATCTCTCTCTTTCACGCTACATGCAGATGTTTCCATAGATATTCTGTCATGTCAATGACACAAAGCCATCAAGAGTCTAAGAAGAAAACTTGAAGAAGAAGGTTTTGTCTTGGTGCTCGAATAAAGAAAATGTAGAAACTCTGGCTCCTTGAGAGCTGTGAATAGAAGTTACAATGCCTTTTCTCTACATTTGATGATTAGTGGTTTACCATTGACAGTGCTGTACCGGCATACTCATTCATCAAGGACCCTTTCCAAAGTTGTATTCATGCTTTTGAGTGCTGCTCAGATGCATTTGTGATGTACCAAGTCTGTTTTGTGGTTTATCAATTAGTTACTGCGATGCATTTATGTTAATGACAGTTGATGGCTACATTATCAAATCATGGTATTTTTAGTTTGTTGAATCACATTTATTATAAACGACATCGGGTGTGTTACCTCTAAAGACCAGTCCCCTTGGAAAAAATGCCTAAAATAACACCAAATAATGCCCAAAATGAATCAGGAATAGCTCCTCCAACATGAAACATTTAATTCAATTTATTATATTCAATTCATTTCATTTAAATTCAATTTATTTTGTATGCCCAAAATCACAAATCACAAATCTGCCTCAGAGGGCTTTACAATCTGTACACATGTGACATCCTCTGTCCAGGACCCTCACAGGGGAACAGGAAAAACTCCCCAAAAAACCCTTTAACGGGGAGAAAAGAGGGAGAGACCTCAGAGAGAGCAGCAGAGGAGGATCCTCTCCCAGGATGGACAGAAGTGTGATAGATGTATCTGATCTCCTTTGAAAAGATAAGAAGCTAAGGAATTTGAATCCTAACTAAACTATATTATCATTCCAAAGAAAATGGAGAAAAAAAGATATAATGAATATAATTTAGATTTTAATATAGATGAATGTCTTTTCCTACTCTTTACTACCAGTGGGACTGTACATGTTGTTTAAAAAAACACTAAAGTTCAACATTTATGATACAATTTATGACGACATACTCAGCCGGTCTCAGTATTCTGGCCATGTTTACTGTTGATATGTTGGCTGCTTACCAGGACTTTTACTTCAAAACTCTATTTATTTCGGTATAGCTATGTTGCAAATAACATAAATCTCCCAAAAACATTGAAATAGTAACACACTGAATATTGATCAATATTCATATATGACCGAAGAGCTCAATGACAAATATAGACAAATAAATGGAGAATGCAAAAGCCCACAGCTGAAACAGGTGTCATAAGATTCATATATGAATATGCAAGATTGATTGGCTTTCTTTTACCATCTGGTGGCTGTAAGCCTAACCCTTATGTTAGGTTCAGGAACCTCTCGAAACTGTGGGAGAGCTGCACGTCTTCCAGCCGTGCCAAAAACTCAGCCGGTTCAAATTATGATCAAAAGTATTTAATCTTACAGAAGCTAAAACAATTGCAAAGTGAATTACACTATTTAAAGAACCTATAGTAGGTATAGGTAATGTTAACTTCCTTTCATAGTCCGTAAAAGTCATAAAATGTCTGTCTCGATTACAATTGGCTTAAATCCAGTTGACCCCTCCTGGCTTCAGTCAGCTGACCGCCCTCGCGTGACCTATTGGCGCTGGTCAGTTGCTCCTTCTGCGCGTCCCTCCCTCTGTTAGGCCCCGGTTGGACTTCCTTCTCCGCTCATGATGGTCCCTGAAATGCCTGTCTCAAAATCCCTGTCTGTCCCTTGGCTATTCTTCACAGTTTAATACATTCAATGATTGTCTTTTATGGCTCAACACTTCTACGGTAAACATAGTGTAAACATATTATACATTTGATAAGTATTTGTGACGTTCCAAACACTTTGACACGTTTTACAAGCATAAGTGGCACACCAAGTACTTTCTAACATTTTACTATCCACCTCTAGGGGTGCTATAAATCCTACTAAGAAACACTTCTAAACCTAAATTCCCCACACTTAGAATTATAGTCTGAGCCTAGATGAGACCTACCTTCTCTCCCAGACGATCTCAGTGACTCTCTGGTGCTTTATCATTGCTGCAGAAGTAACCCAAATAGTCCTTGGTGAAATACTTAAAATCTCTTAAACTCTTAATCTCTAACCAAAACCTATTAAAAACACCAAATGACATCTAGACGAGGTAGCCGGAAGTGCAAAATTGCTGACTCATGACCTGGGTTACATTTACAAAGTTTATATCTGTACGAATTATTATCAAAATACTTCGTAATAAATTTGGACAACATACAATTGGGTTACAGATTCTGAAAGCCGAAACCTCATGTTTTGGAAACCGTATAACATTCATATCTTCTATAAAAAGACGATTATGAAATAGAGTTTTTTCGGGTTGATGACTGTATCTGTGCTCCAACAGAATGGCTCAAGTGAGAAGAGAGAGGTTCGACAGTTCCAGTTTATGGCCTGGCCTGACCATGGAGTGCCTGAGTATCCCACCCCAACACTGGCCTTTCTACGCAGAGTCAAGGCCTGTAATCCTCCAGATGCTGGACCCATGGTGGTCCACTGCAGGTAAGCTACCTCTTATATCAACACAAAGGCCTCAGTATGCTTCGAACAAAGTGTGTTGGATCATCTGACATAGTCTGAAATCCCCTTTCCAATGGCTTCCAACGATTAGTGTAACTTTCTGAAACAGACAAATCAACAAGCATGCCTACGTTACGCAATGATTGGTCAGGTGTGTTGAGGTGTGAAGGTAGTCTGGATTTGTAATTCTCCTGTGTGCAACTGAGTGCAACACCATGAATTGCAGGCACCGTTATCGTGGGTACTTGGTAGTTCACCTGTGGAAAAAGTCATGACTAGCTCGATATAAAAATGAAGAAAATCTGAAAAGATTGCATGAGGGACTATGGAGCAAAGCCGGATAGTTGTGGGACTCTGGTTGGTGCTGACCAATGCTATACTACGATTGGCCAGTCTGCGCTCGAGGGACGGGAACTTAGGGAAGGGTCATTTGGCTTTAGTAGGGACACACAATAGCTTAGCGGTGTATGGCGGAGTGTACTTAGTGTACGATGCAGTGTACGGTAGTTTTGTGAGTTACCATTTTACAAAAAATACGGGTTGAGTAAATACAAAAATTGCGGTAGGTATTGACTGTAGCTTGGCTATTTAAAATGGAGGGTTTGTGCAGAATGTTCCAGGGTCCGCTTCTGACGATTCTCTCAAACCAATCAGTGGTCTGTGGTGTTTCAAATTCATCTTCTATCGACTCAGCTCTCTTGGAACCTCGACCGAGGGGGTACCATCCACAACTTTTCCTCATGAAAATGCGAAAATAACCGTTCTAATATGTAATCAACGAAAAGCGACTGTTGAATAAAATAGAAGAGACTACATACTTTACCCACTATTTTTTTGAAATACTCATACTTTGCTTAAACTCTTTAATACCATTGACAGTAAGTAAGTAGGTAATTGTAACAGAGAACTACCCAGAAATCCTTGAAATTGTTGTTTGTACATTGTGCACAGCACATCCATGATTACCAACCCAGCTGGTCTGTGAAGCTTCACACCAAACATATCAAAGAAGTATCAGAGTGCTGCCTCCATGCTGTTTAGACCCTCACATCACTTCCTCTGTGTAGTGACGTCAGTGTGATGTTGCAATCTAGCACAGTACATGAAGGGCTGAGGCAATAAACTGTGTCTGCTAAAAGTTTTTCTTTGTCACAATTATTTTATTTATAAGTGTTGCTAAATGTAACAAAATACAAGCACAGAGTGAGTCTACGTTGGTTTTTAAACAGTGGCCAGTAGGGACACCAGTGACACCTAGAAGACAATGTTATAGTCATACATAGTGGGAAGGTGGGTTTAGATCAGGCATGGGCAAACTACGGCCTGCGGGCCATATGCGGCCCGTTGGGCTTTTTAATCCGGCCCGTCAAATATTGGTACAAAATTGTCCAAACTATAATAAAGACTAGGGCTGGGCGGTATACCGGTTTACATTTCTCATATAATATGAATTCTTCACACAACATCATACCGGTGCATAGCCGAAACAACTACTGTCTGCTTTCAACAGGCAGCTAAATATATTGTTCGCCGCTTAAAGCGCTGCGGTCAGCACTAGTTCTCTTATATGTATTGAGAGGGAACCCTAGTCATGGTCATAACTTTATAACACAACAATTAACAACCCCCAACTAACGCTCTTTAACAGAGAAAAACACAACAGCACACAACAGTCCGTGACACATAAACAATTTGTAACACTAATAATTGTACATTTATAAAATTTCACCGCAGAACTGCATGCTGGGTACAGCTCACTCGCGAGCCTGCTAGCACAACAGTCTGCTAACAGCTGGGAGAGGCTCCGTCGCTCCAGTTACGTTACATTAAAGAACAGAACAGAGCGATGCAGGATGAACAAAGACAGACCGGAGATGCACCGATAGAGTTTGACACATATGCAACGCTGATTACCGTGTAATATGCGTGGTATTTGTTATAAATGTACATTGGTGCAAAGAGGGTGATAAGAAGCTGTACAGGGAGGGGCTTAGGACCCAGGGGAATGTAGGTGAAGGAAACGGGAAGAGACGGAAGACACGCCACACAAACAGCTGTTCACCGCTCGTCGCGATCCTGCAGACCAGTGATTCTCAACTGGTGGTTCGTCGCGGACCCGTTTTCAGTGGGTCGCGGGCCTTTGCTTTATGCAGCGGAATTATTCATGCTACTTTCCAGCATTTACGGCACTTGTTCAGCGGTGCAGGAAAAACACCGACCAATGCGTTGTAAATCACGTCACGTGATGCAGTTTAGCCAATAAAATAAGGGTATTCTGATACGTTTCCTGACTCCAGTGAGATGTACCCACACCGTGACACAGGGGGGAGAGACAAGGAAAGACATTACAGAGCAGAGCTCTGATAATGTTCATTGTGAAAGTCAAATATCTGTATGATCCCTTTAAAGAAGCAAATTGCTCTAAAGACCACAGTCTTTAACTGATGAAAACATTAGATCTGTTCTGAGAATTGACACAACCAAACTGACATCAAATGTTGATGCACTGGCAAAAAAGGGTGACCAACAACACTGTTCCCACTGAGATTAATTGTAAATTTCCTTTACTTTTTAGGTCATGGCTTTTACTTGTAATTTATATTAGTTCACACAAACACTCTCCATTCATCTGCTACTGGCCCGGCCCTTCTGTCAAATTTTAAAACTCAATGTGGCCCCCGAGCCAAAAAGTTTGCCCACCCCTGCTTTAGATTGTACCGTACACAAAGCAGATTTTCACCTCACATTATTTGTAAGAATATGTCTTTCAGACACAGCAGACTATACATAAAGTGGATTTTTTTCTTCTCATATTATGACTTCATTCTAATTAAATTGCAACTTCATGTTTGTAATAATACAACGTTTTACTATACTGTATATGGGATATGTTTTGAATGTTCAGAAAGTTATGAACATGTGCATAATCCTGCCGGAACACAAATCCAAGGGTTTATAGATTATTTCAAATGTATCATGGAGGTGAATGGAGGCCACGTGCACATGTAAAGAGGAGGGAAGAGTAAGACATGCGTAGACTCAGCAGACATTACATGAAATGAGATATTTGAAGACAGAATGCCTGAATACCATCACTAGATACAATGGCTCAGATTAAGTTTATTAACTGTGGTTTGAAACAATCACATTGTTTGTATTCAGAAGTATTATTTTCTGGATATACACACAGTTATCAAAGAAGGCAGGTGGAGGAGGGGTCACATTAAAACAGCAAGGCATGGAGCCATATGTCACTGGAACAGTGCTTTACGTCTCTGTAATCTATAACAGGAGGTTTTAAGAAGCAGCTAACGAGGTTGTTAAAGACGATGTGAGGAAGGAGCCAGTACAATAGGTCCAATAACTGTAAACTGAGAATGTTATTGTTTTGTTTTCCCTTTGAAAATGTTGTGACTGCTTGAATGCTTTGTTCATGGTTTTCATCTCTTTTTAGTGTTGGATGCAATGTTAATGTAGTCACTTTACTTTTTACTGTAGGAAGTGTGAGTGCAAATATTGTTTGACTATATGTAATTGATTTGGGCTCCAGACAGAGTAGTTGTTACCAAGGCAACAACAATTACATGCGAAACAGTAAACCCCCGTGCTCTCTCTCCGTACTCCGTCAGTGCCGGTGTGGGCCGCACAGGCTGCTTCATCGTGATCGAAGCCATGCTGGAGAGGATGAAACACGTGAAGTCGGTGGACATTTACGGTCATGTGACGTGTATGCGGGCTCAGAGGAACTACATGGTGCAGACTGAGGACCAGTACATATTTATCCACGAGGCCCTGCTGGAAGCGGCAACGTGTGGCAACACAGAAGTCCCCGCCCGAAACCTGTACGCCCACATCCAAAAGCTCACCCAGATCCCTCCCGGAGAGACTGTCACCGCCATGGAACTGGAGTTCAAGGTTTGTGGTGCCGTTTGGGTTTTTGATTTGTTTTGTGCATTCTGCAGCTTTTAAAGTCCTTTTGAAGTGGCACTCCAATCACAAAACTTGCCTTTGCTGCATTTATCTTGATTGACAGGCTTTTTGAAGCAACGTGGCATTATGTACTCAAACTGTTGTTTACAAAAAATGCCATTGTAAAATAAAATATACAAGTATTATCATTTCTAAGGCTAACCAGAGAACAATGTGAAGCTCTTAGAGCAGGTGCATTGTGACCAGATGTGTGCTCACTTGTTAGAACACAGTGGCTTCCAAACTTCAGCCTCTGTTGCATCCATTTCCACCATATGATTTTTATGCATTATGTTTTCGGGTGGTTCGTGTGTCCGTCCATCCGTCCAGTCCATTCTCGTGAATGCAATATCTCAGATACACCTGGAGGATGTTCTTAGAGTTCAAAGGGCACATGTGACTTCACGTCCGTCCCATTCTTGTGGATGAAATTTCTTCAAATTTGTCACAAACATCCACCTGGATCACTAAGGAATCAATATGCTAATTATGACAATTCCAAACAAATGGCAAATAGAATGAAATAATGATATTTTGGACAGATATGGATGTAAACTGCAACATGACTTGTTGGTGGTGGCATACAAGGCCGTAATCCTAGCTTAATCCACTTCTCACAAATCTTCCGATTTAATGGAAGTGCAATGCTAAATGTCCGGAGTGCCCCTTTTTAACCGCATGAGGCAGGGAGAGCTAGGGAAGAGGAGGGATTTGCATCTTCAGCCTGTGTAAAAGAGATGAACTCCTTCTCAGAGGAGGAGCTGCGAGAGCTTAACTCCTGAGCTCCAGATGACAGGCCAAAGGAGAGGCAGAGGGAGAGAGGGCCTGGACGGCCCGGATGTCTGACGGCCTCAAGATAAGGGCCTGCTGGGTTACGTGCTTTTACCCGGGATGAGTTGCAGCACTGCGCCCACCCACCTCACTCCGCACCAAGCGACACCGCAGTGATTTAACCAGCCACACAGACGTGGGGTGGGGGTGGGGCAAGCAGGACGGCTGTAAATCCAGACAGAGCGTAAATAGGTTCTGATCCTCAACTCACTGCGAATTTCTTTCGCAAGCACTTCTCAAATTGACACCTGCCCTTGGGGTGCAGAGGAATCACATTAGGGTCCGTCAGCAAAGCCGCCCCCCCCCCCCGACAAAAAAAACAACAACAATTGAGTTGTTGGTGTCAAAAGTTTGATTCTCCTCGGCTCGACATGCATTGCCGGCCTCTCTACGTCAGCTCAAAACAAATGTGTGTGAGGTCGGTTAGACTTTTCGATGTCTTCAGGATGAGTTTTAACGCGCCCCATCATCAGGCTTATTTGAAGTCAGGGAAAGAGGATCAGCTCAAAGTGCATCATTTTCATATATCGATACGAGTGTTAGCTCCGTGTGCCCTTTACCAACCTTGCTAACACACCACATTCCACCAATACCGGTTGTATTAGCTCTTTAAGAGAGCAGAAGTGGACGGTGGAGACATACGTGTCCTCCTTTCTGTGTCCGCAGAAACTGGCCAACTCTAAAGCACATACCTCAAGATTCATCAGTGCCAACCTGCCGTGCAACAAGTTCAAGAACCGCCTGGTGAACATCATGCCTTTCGAGTCCACCCGCGTCTGCCTGCAGCCAATCAGAGGGGTGGAGGGCTCTGACTACATCAACGCCAGTTTCATCGACGGATACAGGTGAGTCCATAGGAGCCATTAGGGTGTCACAAAGGGACACCGACAGAGGATGGCGGAGCTACTGCGAACCAGGAGCTGCAGCCTCTAATGAATTTAGAGGTTGACCTTTACTCTGGCAGCTGACAGCAGTTTCACCGCTTCCCATTCTTTCGTTGTGTCAGTTGTCAACACAAATTGGTCTTATTGACAGGCCTGTTAATTCTCTCCTGTTTTTCTCCCCCTCTTGTAAATGGATGGTGGGTTTGAGATGGCTGACAGGCCAGAGAAACAGACTGATTACTGCTGCAATGCTGCTGCTGTTTGTGTCCACAAGAGTTTTCAATCATGGGCCTCAGGACACAGACTCCAGTGAAATAATGACTTCTCTTTACATTTACTTCAACGTAATGCGTGAAAACTGCATTACAAATCATTTAAGTATTTACAGGTTTTTACATAGCACTACTTACCGGACTTAAATCAAATAGATAAATACTTTGGAAAGCTCGTATTCACATTCTTTCAAAGAGTACGATGAGAAAAATCTCATGTCTGTATGTTACAGTAAGTACAGAGCTGGTTAGCCTAGCATAGCATAAAGACTGTGAGTCAAAAGCAAAAAATAAGCCTACCAACATCTCTAGGGCTGGGTATCAATTAAGGAATTACAATACCACTACCCTTAAAGTGATACCGATACCAATAGAGTACTTCATTGGATACCCATCATATGAATGGATGCTGTGTGCGTGTGTGTGTGTGTGTGTGTGTGTGCGTGTGTGTGTGTGTGTGTGTGTGTGCGCGTGTGTGTGTGTGTCTGTGCGTGTGTGTGTGTTGTTGTGGAAAAAATTCCTATACCCGCTTTGCGTGAGTCTTTTCATGCTGAAATACAAAATACCAAAAACCAGGTTGTCTTTTAAGTATTTATTCTCTGCGCAGAGAAGGTTCAATCATCACAACAGAATGCGTACAGTCTCAGTGAGGAAGAACCAAGAAACAAGTGAACAAGCTTTCTTTACACAGAATGAGCAAAGGTGGGGGCCGATGGCCAATGTTACACACATTTGGTCTCAGATGTTTGGTCTCAGACTGAAAGGAACAACAATGAACAACAAACGGTCAGCAACCAAAGCAAGCGGCCCAAAGGCCTTGGTGCTGGAACATTCTCACACAACACAGTTAGTTATCTTTGTGAACAGAGACGGAGAACTCTTCTTCTGCACAACAGAGACACGGTGAAGTTCAACAAAGTTCAGAGCAAAATGACTTATGCATGAATACAATATACTGTTAGAAATATATACTACGTGTGTGTGCGTGTGCATGTGTGTGTGCTCTGTCAGCACTGTTGTCGTTATAAGCGCTGTTTTGTGCTGTTATCACTGTTAGCTTCTAGCCGCCGGCTCAGACATCTCCATATTCAGAGCCATGCGCAGACGATCTCGGATTTATGGGTTGCAGCTGCTGCAGCAGTTGGCCAATCAAATCGGAGAATGCTTGCGGGAATTGGCTGCCAGCAAAACCGTCACCCAGAACTGTTAAAAGTTCTTCTTTCTACTCTTTGGTGCCATTTTCACGAGTGAACAACTCGCACATATGTAACAGGATGCGTTTTTCAAGAATATAAAAATGTTCAAGAATTTGAAAATGCTCTTGTGTCCATTGGGAGTGTCTGTGCTATAAAATACTGTATATATAATTATATGTCACAACAAGTACAGATACAAATAGTAATGACATTTGAGTACAGATTTAGCTATTGTAAAATTAGCATGGAACCCAGACTGTCTCTGGCTCTCTGTGAGTAATCCTTCAACATTTAATTGTTAACTTGTGTCTGTGTGTTAACACACTTGTGTGACAGATAAATACAGAGAGGCGAAGAGTCTGCCTGATTTTCCCACACAAACATGCATATTAGACGTCAGCGCTGGTAATGTCACATGTCAGATAAATAGCCAATCAGAGGCCTCTCGGAGAAGCATGCCTTTTACGAAAGTGTAAACCCTAATTGGAAATACTTTCCAGTTCACTAGCAGAGTAAAGCTCGTGCTAATGAATCAGGACTTTTGCTTGCAGCGAGGGTGGGTGGGTCTCATTCTCGGCTGTCAGCACCTAATGAAGTCCCCCGGGCACCTCCACCTAAGGGAGGCTGGGGGAAGAGGCAGGCGTGTCCTGTAATTCCTGTTGCAGTAATTAATAGCGGGGTGAGAAACGGGGAGTTCCAGCACTCTCTCTGAGCTCAGCCTTTAAAGTACACAGTGTGGATTAGGATGGATTACGGTGGGGGGATAGACATGATAATGGTGATTAGTGGAGGTGTCCAGTGACCTGAAGGTATATCGGCTGTAGTCATTCACGTCATAGCCTGTCCATGGGGATCCTGTCTATGGGGATCCTGTCTATGGGGATCCAGCAGCAGGCCTACGCCACTCTGTTAGATACTGCCAGGTTAGAGAGTATTTAAATAGAATTATACCTTTATTATCTTTTGATAGCGCTCTGTCATGGCTTGGTTGTGATGTTACTCAGATCAAAGCAAAATTCTACTATCATTCTATTGTTTACTACAATTTATATCTTATTGTTGATGGTGTTGCCATTCGCCTCTATTGGTTACCGGTTTATCTAAACCATTATTTTTAGGCAAAACTCAATGTAAGTATCCCTGAAACGTTGACATTAGTCACTCTTTTCACCGGAAAACTGTGTCCACACAACTACAGTGAGTACAGTAGGTCAAACTGTTTTTTTTATAGAACTTCCAATATGTTGCCCGAAGAAATGCCAAAGGGCTTTTTCCCCCTTAAACTCAGTTCAAACACATTAGACTTCTTACGGTGACGTTACCATGGTCTTAGATCTATGCAGTTAACTTTGAGTACAATGCTACAATGTAACAATGTAATTATACTTTATACGTATATACATCAACTCAGCATGGCTATCCACACTAACAGTAAACACAGGTTCCTATATTCTAGATTTCTTCTTATCGTCAATAAATTGCATGTGCAGACACAATACAACAATGAAATGACTCTACTAACAAGTGCTGAGTGTGTGTCAAAGCATCATAGGTCTTCTTCCTCTGAGCTCCATTGTTATCTAAACATTAAAAGCACACCAAGAGGTAGAGCGGGTTGTCCACTAATTTAAAGGGTGCTTGGGCAAGACACTGAACTCCAAGTTGCCCCCACTGGGCTGGCGAGCGCATTGCGGCTGCAGTGAATGGGTGAATTCTAAAGCACACTGCAAAGGTAGAAAAAAAGTGCAGTCCGTTTACTGGCTGACATCATCCTTCATTACCATGAACACACACACACTGTAGTCTATGTTGACTCAATCCCGTGCCCGCTGCCACAAAAGCACCAAATGTGGATTAATCCGCCGCTGAAAATAGTCCCCAACATATGCACGACTTCCTCCTGCCACACCGGGAGGGGCGTCAGAAAGTATTTAGAAATGGCGTAACCGACATGTTGTCACTCAGAACTCGTCAAATACCGACTCTCGGTCAGTGCTCCTAAGCTTCAAACTATGACGCTCTTGGTTCCCCTCTAGCATCAGTTTTAGACATGTCGGTGTCTTTTCAAAACGTCCAACGTAGGTGTGCTTACGCAACAAAACTACTTGGTTTAGGTTTAAAATAACTATGTTTGTTACATAACTGGCATTAGTGAAGTGCAGAAGTTACGTAACAAAACTAGAAATGAAAATGTCTATAAAAGTCCTGTTTTTAGACCGTTCCAACCTCCCCTCCTGCCCTGTGTGGGCTTTTTCGCTCTTTACACGACGTCAGTTGCTCTGATCGTCTAATAATGAAGTGAGTTACAGTACATTGGAATTAGTTGAAAGCCTGGTCTCATACAGGCGGTGAGTCCCATTGAGATTAAAAATCTCTTTTTCAAGGGAGACCTGGCCAAGACAGGCAACAACACAAGAACCACAGTTACAGACAGGAAACACTGAACAAGACAAGTTAAAAGAAACTAAAAGTTAAGAGACAGTGACGTAACCGAGTTCATTTAAAAAACATTGACATTTTTGGGAACCTGCCTCTATTTCTTTCATTTTAGATTTAAAGGCAGTGAGTGGTATCAGTTCTTTGAGTTTTAAGTCATTCTGCAACATATTCCATGATGAGGGTGCAGAGTACACAAAAGCCCTTTTTCACTTTTCCGTTCTGGCATTTGGGACAGTGAGCATGAAGAAGTCCTGAGAACGCAAGGAGTATTGTCCGACACTTTTCAAGACACACAGGTAGCTTGGTAGCAGACCAAGGATTGCCTTATAAATGAAGGTGTACCAATGACGGAGCCTACGGGAGGCCAAAGCAGGCGAGTATAACTCAGTGGTGAGTCAGAGCTTTACAATTGGTAATGAAGCGCAGTGAAGCATGGTGAGCTGTGTCCACCATACGAAGACCGTTAGCAGAGGCATGCATATAAAGATCACCATAGTCCAACACAGGTAAGAAAGTAGCAGCAACTAATCGCTTCTTTACATTAGTTGAAAAGCACATTTATTACCTCAGTAAACATTGTAAACATGAGTTTATGGTCTCAATCTCTAGTTTCAAGTCTTCTTCAATACAGCATGATGTTCATTTAGTACATTATGGTCCATTTAGAGTCAAACAGACCATAAAGCAGGGTATGTTTTAGGGCGGGGCTACTGTGATTGACAGGTCGCTGCCGTTTACCTGAGCCGTATACGGCATCTCTATGCCACTTCTCTGTATTCCAAATATGGTAATTTACGTTCATCGGCTGCAAAAAACTAAGATGGCAACGGCCATATTTCAAGATGGCGACGGCAAAATCACCGAACTCGGGATTCATAACGTCAGTCCTCGAACCAATGGGTGACGTCACCATAACTACGTCCACTTCTTATATACAGTCTATGGTCTAATACAGACCCTAAAAGGTGCCTTGCTGCATTGTTTTATCAGCACACCTACATAGCAACATTAGTTTGTTAAAGTTCTTTAGCAGCCAAACTCTTTGTTTACCTAAACGCGCAGAGGTCAGCAATTCTTATATTCAACCTCCCGCATGTGACCTGCTACTGAAACTGATACTGCTACTGGTCAAAGTACCGCTAATCATTCCGCAGTGGTGAGCCAGAACGACAGCAGGTATAGTGGCAGCATAGCCAGAATCCCAGCAACATGCAGAAGCTGTGGCTCCTAAGTTTATATTTGTTTGCTGTAGTATGAAGTACTCAAATAATAGTTGCAGTGGTTGTTGCACAGAGCTGAGAGCAGGACAGGGGCGGACTCGCTACCAAAAACAACAGTGCCTCAAGCCATCACTGGCACACACACACAAATGAAAGAGCACTGATGTATACAGAATTACTCAGTATGTGTGCTGCACCAACATGCTTGAGAGAGTTACCCAAGCTCCTCTGCTGCGCGCTTCAATGCTGCCCCCTAGTGGTCTGGTCCCATAACTACTGCACAGCCCAGAGCCTTGGTTGAGCAGCTGGGATGGCATCTGTCATTTTAACAGTGCTGTTAAAAAGGGTCTGTGTTCAAGCGAAACCATTTAGATATCAGTGCATACATTAGCAACAGCTGACTCATCAAATCCACTTCAAGGGCTGTGTGTAAAATGAAATATTTAACGCTTGAGAGGTTCATTCAGCAGTTATTAGGTGAAGGGTGAGTCCGAAAAAACTCAGTTTTAGTTTCGCAGACTCACATACCGTAAATATGTATGAATGTACATTCTAAATATACATTTTATGCACAGCCCTGCCAACACTATTCTACCGATCAATAGGTGGTGGTAATACGCATTCACAAGCAACAGTGTGCCAGCAGAGGCAGAGAAGAAGAAGACTGCTGGTAAGAAAAACAATGCTGCATCAAAAATACTTTATTAGCTTTGCTAATGTTTTGAGGAGAGAAATGCATGAGACACTTTTGTTAGGGCTCAAAGATTCAAACAGTGCATTCAGTGAGTGACACTGAATGTGAAAATAACTTGTAAATGGACTGTATTTGTAAAGCGCTCTTATCCGAATCATTTACAATTTGCGTCCATGGCCTACAGAAAGGTTTTATGCATTGATTAAGAAAGCAAGTTGTGTACAACTATATAAAGTCTACAAATCCTTTATTATTTAGGTTCATATTGTGGTTAAATAGTGCGTATGACTCATTTTGCATTTAGTCTAATTATCAATAACTGATTACAAAAGCAAATGTGCCAGGTAGTATTTTAGAGTAGAACATTAAGATGTATTCTACTGCATTCATTGTATTGATGGGTACTTGTGTGCACTATACTAGTGCACAGCAAGACTCTCATCCCACATACTGACGCTTGGTCAGGACCCTGAGCGCCACACAGGATAGTCGAGCGTGTCAAACTATGACTCTCCACTATGACCGCAGTGAACATCTAGTTAGGTTGTGAATTCAAGCAAAGGCAGTTGCAACAATGGTGTGGATGTGTTTACATTGCAGCCACTTGAAAGCCAGGTGTGTCTCACAGGAATGCTAAAGGTGCCTTGTGGTCAGGTATCAGACGCACAGGGGAGTGACCAAGCATCGGTTTTTGATGCCCTAGCAAAGAGAACAGTTTGTGTTGTAAGATCAGGTGGTGTTCCACACACTTAGGCTACTTAGTATTTGATCAGTTATCTTGCCTACTCTGCACTATTTGGGCGGTTTCCCCCCATTGAAAAGCTACAGGCTCCCCTTAACCTTGGTACTGTATGTGTTGGATGGACAAAAAAGCCTGGTTAAAACAGGTTGTTATAAGATGAGAATAATATGACGTCACGACTAAACACAGCGTCATTACTTCTCTGCACCAGGACCAGAGCTGTGGCTGAAGAGGAGGACGGTTGAAATGGAACCCTGAGCAGTAAACTCAGACGTGTCTCTGGTCCTCTTTGCAGGCAGCAGAAAGCCTACATGGCCACCCAGGGCCCGTTGGCGGAGACCACAGAGGACTTCTGGAGAATGTTGTGGGAACACAACTCCACCATTGTAGTCATGCTCACCAAACTCCGCGAAATGGGACGGGTAATGATCACACTTTGTGTCATGTCATGTCATTAAGTGTGGAACGGTATCACATCAAATAGATACAATTCTGGTTTGAGATATACTTTACTTTTGATAAAATGTTATTGGTTCCAGGGGAAAAACAGGCTCAAAATATGCAGAAATGGAATGCATTGTTGATATTTATCATTATTATTATTATAACAGCAACAATAAAATATAGATAGATATTCATTATTGTTGTTTTATTGTTCTGAATAATAATAATAAACTTTAATTTTATAGCACCTTTCATACAAGAAATGCAGTCTTTTACAAAAAGGGAAAATTAACATAGAATGAACATAAAATTGTTGTTTGTTTTTTCCTTGTAAAAAAATAGTTACTATAGTACTTAGTATGCTTAGTATATCTATATATATATATATATATATATATATATATATATATATATATATATATATATTAGTTTATTGGTATTACTTAACATAACTCTACATACAATTTCAGAGGGTCCTACCTAGAACCCAACATAAAGGGTTGTACCTTGAACTGTCTGTGAAAGAACCCACAGAGAACCCTTAAAAACCTGTTCTTCAAAAAACGGATCTTCAGACTCAAACGGCTCTGGGTGGAACCTCCGCCTCTCAGGAAGAACCCCATATTTCTAGGAGTGTATGATGCACAGATGGAGAGAGACAGGGTGGTCAATGAAGGCCCAGCAGCATATTGGATCTCACCGTGCCTTCACTAAACCACATGTTCCCGAACAGTGACCGCCTGTTCTGACCTACTAATGATACATTGGTTTCCTGATCACAGCCCCAGAAGTTGTGAAACACGTTGTGACGCTTCTCCATTCTCCATTCTCCAGGAAAAGTGCCACCAGTACTGGCCTGCCGAGCGCTCCGCACGCTACCAGTACTTTGTTGTGGACCCCATGGCTGAGTACAACATGCCCCAGTACATCCTGAGAGAGTTCAAAGTCACAGACGCCAGGGTAGGTTCTCGCAGAGCAGCGGCAGGAAGACGGCTTTGGCTCGGCTCCTTTTAATTGGAAAGGACATCAATGCCATTTCTGTGACAGAATATGTTTGTGCTGGCAGAGTGGCATTCACATTGCATGCAGAGGTTTCTTTTTCCATCTGTTTAGAATTTTGTGAATTTTCACTACACCCTGATTGGGACTTTTCACTCGCCACACACACAGAGTTTAGGAGGACAATAGTTTGACCTGTGCACCTGTGATGTCCTTTGGGGCTCCGCTTTGCAACATGAGCCATTGATGAATACAAATATAAGCGTTCGTCTCTTTTATTCAACTAAAGCTGAAGAATGGATCTGAAGTATGTGCTCCAAGCAACACATAGGCTGCATTTTTACAAAACTTGTGTCCTAAGAATGAATTAAGTAAATAAAATGATCGGATTTCGATGTCAACCTGCGACCCCAAAGTCAAAGCTGAAGTCTTGAAGGTAGATAAGCAACATATGATATGTTGAAGGTCTGTAGACTTGCTGATAGGTCAGATCAGATCCCAGTTACACAAATATCTTCAAGCTGCACGGATTCAGACGTGTTTTCAGATGGAGAAATAAAACGACTTTGGACAATTGCAAAAGCAGAGAATGACTACAGTTGAGATCATTTCACAGTTTAACACAGACGCATAATGTGACTGGGCACATACCTGTTCTCCTCAATTATCTTCTGCCAACTACGAGTAGATGATAACAACAGTACTTGGCAAACAGCCAATCACATTGCAGCAGGGCAACGGTCAGTCAGCCCCGCCTGGCAACCAATTAGTGCCATCTGCTTTTATTGGGAAAGGCTTCAGGCGTGCTTATTGTTGTTTTACCAAACTTAGAGCACTTTACACTGTGTGTGTGTGGGGGGGGCAATTAAAAACAGAAAACCAATATTTTGACTTTAAATTGTAGAATAATGATAAATAACAGCAAAAATCTAAATAGAGGTACCTTAGATGCATCCATTGGTTATTCCAGGTACAATTTAAAGGTAGTAATTGCAACATTGGATTAGTTATTATTAAAACACACATGCAGCATTTCTTTTGTTCCCTTCTGTGTGTGAGTATTTCAGTTTCTTTTTCTTTGTTGCTTTTCATTCAACTTTGAAAAGACAGAAAATGATGGAAAGTTATACCTGCTTTGTGACTACTTTCCTAATAAAAAGGAACATTTTAAACAAAATGGGCATCGTAAACCTAGATTTACTGGAAAAAGTGGTGGGGGGGGGGGGGGGGGTGTAGATTGTGTGAGTGAGTTACTCACAGTATCTTCTCTCCGTTTGCCTGTGTGTCAGGATGGTCAGTCGAGGACCATCAGGCAGTTTCAGTTCACTGACTGGCCGGAGCAAGGAGTGCCAAAAACCGGGGAGGGATTCATCGATTTCATCGGCCAGGTCCATAAAACTAAAGAGCAATTTGGACAAGATGGACCAATTTCTGTGCACTGCAGGTAACTATGTGTGTGTGTGTGTGTGTGTGTGTGTGTGTGTGTGTGTGTGTGTGTCAGAGAGAGAGATTCAACATCATAGCTTTGTTTTTTTCCTAATGTAAACACTGACTTTGTTGCATTGATTTAAAAGGCACTTGAGGCGACAAATAGCTTGTTTATTGGTCAAAGATTTAAGAACCCTTCAGTTTGTCAGATTAGAGATTTTGATGAAAAGACGTGTCACAGTTAAACATCTCATAATTCCTTTGAACACATGAAGAAATGCCCGGACAGACTGAGTGACCAGAAGCTACCCGTGCAATACGGTGTAGTCCAATGAAAGAATCCTAAAGTGTCACATTGAAGGGTGTTACTAACATTGTGTGAAATGTAAGAAACACTTTCCAAATCAATTATGTAAATTACATAGATACTGTCGGACTTTAAGAAGAATAGCTCTGCTGAAGCTAAGAGATAATACTGTATATGTTGGTGCTGTATAAAGAGAGTAGCTCATTGTTTGCTGACCATATGCAGACTTTGTATATGTGAGGCCTCTTTTCCACCGAAGGAACATCCCCCAGGGACTATGAACCTTTTGAGGAATTTTGACCACAGGGGCCGGGGTCTACATTAAGTTCCGGTGAGATTTGACCTCCCAAAAAAGGCTCTGGTCAGAGGTGGTACTGTCTGAAAGTACAGGAACTTTTGGGATGGGGTTTGCAGGGAAGCCCGTCGCTGATTGGTCAAACACAAGTAGTACTCCAGTATCGATTGAGGACGAGAGGAGAGCATTTCTCTTTGCTTGATAACACTGAAAGTCACTTTCTGACTCGTTTTAACCAGAGAAGAGAGAAAAATAGAGTGAGAGCACAGCGGTCCTGTGAATGAGAGAACAAAAGTTATTTTTATAAAACAAAGATTGATATTTTTCCATCATGCTTTTTGGATGAAACGGGCGGACACACTAAACTTCAGGCTGCAGAGTGAGTTTACATGGCAGCCAGCAGCAGCCACTCGTCCGCCATGTTGCTTTCTCATACGTCAGCGAGACTAATTAGCCCAATCTTCACAGGTCATTAGATCGCTATGGAAACGCAGACAACAATGGGCTTTTATTTCCTTGAAAAGTAGTCTGATGACTAAAAACCACCAGGACCTTCTTTAGATGTATTATGACACAGCGGGAATCAGTCACACCTTTATCATTTCTTATGTGTTGTATCTTAAGATGTTTTTTTGTCTTTGATCACGTCACATTTTTTCACCACCACGGCTAGAAGTAGAGAGAACTCAGTTACAGTTATAAAGCCATAAATCATGAAAAAGAAAAAAAACGGTAGTTGAATTTCTTTTGATCATTTATTTTACAAAATATTCAGAAAACACAAAAATCTATATGTCCAATATGTTTCCAAGTGTTACCAAGTTTATAAATGAATGTGTCTATGTGCTGTATACTGTATATAGAAGTGTTTACATATGAACAGCCTCTCCTGTCCTCTCCTCTCTGCTCTGTGTTCAGCAGCAGTTCAGTCACGTGACTGTTGGTCTCAGGCAAATCAATCATGGCTTCCTGGTTGTGCTGAAGAGCTCAGAATTTAATGTTTTTTACAGGATCTGGTTAAAACAAACGCTTTATTTTGGGTGAGATTTTAAACGAGACATGTAGAATCAAATTTTAAACTTTGTTTTGGTGGCTTCTTCTGACTGAAGCATTTGTCGCACATGATGTGTTCAAGGACCTGAAAGATGAAAATCTAAGAATTATGATGCTGTAATTTTGGCGATTTGTTTCAAGAAAACATGCACATATTTATTCACTACAGTTGATGCAGATTAATTGTTACGGTATTTTCTACTCTGATTAATTGACCGATTCATCTCCATCTTCATGTTATTGTTTTAGTTGTACATGAGATGTGTTCAAAAGAGGACATTTAAAGAAATGTTCATGTCTGTTGTTTTTGAGTTTTTCATATAAATACATTTAAAAGAAAAAGAAACACCTTATTATAAAATGCTATCCAATATAATCCAACATAACACCAGCACAAAAATGACCAGAGAGTTGAATCGGGTAGGATATTGGATGGTATTACCATCCACAGTACAGGCTCACCGGGCACTGCTGGCAAATAAGTTTCAAGATCCATCTCATAATTCCCATATTTTCAACTAGAATAGATAGAAGAGCGTTTGACAGAATGGACAGATACACTCACAACCAGTTGAATCTGTTTGTCAAAGATCCTTTGGAGATTTTCTGAGGTTCCCATTTGATCCTGACATGTGCACAGAGCGTGAGCTGCCAGGTTCCCATTTTGATTGGTCCTGCCGACGTGTATGTGTGTGTGAGACGCTGATTTGTAATGAGAGTCTAACAACATGTGCGTCCATCAGTGCTGGCGTCGGGCGGACTGGTGTGTTCATCACCCTGAGCATCGTCCTGGAGAGGATGAGGTACGAGGGAGTGGTCGACCTCTTCCAGACCGTCAAGACACTCCGAACCCAGAGGCCAGCCATGGTGCAGACAGAGGTATGGTTGATGACCAGGACATGAGAGGAGACGGGAGGAAATGTCATGTTGATGAGAGTAGAGCATAGCGGGGCAATCATTACACAAATGAAAAAACATCCAAGCACATGAAGCTGAATGTGTGATTAAAGATATAACTAAATCCAGATCAGCAAACTTCAGGAGACACAGCAGCAGAGAATGGGCTTGTGTTGTTGAAAGTGTTCGTGATCTGGAAGCAGTTTAGAATTAGAATTAGAATTAGAAAGCTTTATTAATCCCCAGTGGGGAAACTCATTTGCCATCAAAAACAACTCAGTTTCCACAGAGCACATCAGACAGAAAACACATTACAACAAATAACACCATAAAATGCCACATGAGGCATGAATAACATCAGAGAGAAAGCACATCTAAAGGTGTTCATTAAAACATCTGACTGCTGCTGGAACAAAAGAACTGCTGAGTGGTTCAGTGGAACACTGAGGCACCGTGAGCCCCTCACTCAATGACTGTGAGGTCCCAACAGCATCCTGCAGCTTCCACCAGAGAGCTGACGCTTTAAAGTTATTTCAAATGATTACTACTCAGAGAGCCGCATATTTAATAATACTTCACAAATACTTTGAAATGTTATATTTCAGTACAGTTGCAGGGTAGATATCACCATGACATTTCTCCAGCTGATTACTGACATTAAGACAATTATTGTCATTTTATATATATTTATATATTATTAATTAAACGTTTTCTGAAATTATGTTTAAACATGCAAATGATGCATTATGTCATTCAAACATTTCCAGAACATAAATATGAGCATTGGATAAAGCCAGTTCAACATTCTTGTTTCATTTAGTTGACATGTTAGATGACGGTTCTTACCGAGCGATATCTCATTGTTTTGCTCCATAAATCAGGAAATACTGTCAACAGTCATAAAAAAAACTATTTTCTCCATGTTTACTGTAACAAAATGTTTTGTAAATCATGCTATGAACGTTATATGAACAAACCCATCTGTCAAGACCTTCAGAAGAGAGGAATGAAACTGGAAAGTTTGGTGTCTGTAAGAGCTGCTGAAGTGTCTGAGGTCAAAATAATAACTAGATATCATCATAAACTTCCCCAGCTGATTACTGACATCAAGAAAAACTTAGGAGAAATCTACAGACGCAAATAGACAAAGTAGTAAAATAAACGTGTATTCTAGATGGATTTATTTCCACTGCTGAACACAGGGAACATTTAGGAGCTAAAGACACAGATATTTATTTTCCTGGAGGCGATACAAGATTTAACATTGGAATTACATTCATCAAGGGGACAACAGCGGAGTTGCTCTGTGTCTGCTGGATGTGCAAGTAGGCAACTTAAAAGGTGATATAATATGTCAGTGTTGTGTTCACAGATCTGTTTCCGCTGCACCCAAATCAGTTTCAAGTAAATATTCTGAAGGTCCATTCCACGACTGCATTCTGAGGATGTATCGGCGTGCAGGCCTGCAAATGAACAAACAATATGACCAAAACCTTGTTGTTTTTTTGTCACTAGGACCAGTACCAACTGTGCTACCGGGCTGCTCTGGAGTACCTGGGAAGCTTCGATCACTATGCAACATAACCCCGCCCAGAAAGACACCCTCAGACGAGTCTCCTCTGAGCCACATCTACTCTGCTCCGTCAGCCCCCCGAGGCCTGATGAGGAGGCTACAGTACTAGGAGGTGACCACAGCAGCAAACGGGGAGATAAGAGGAAAGAGCAGAGGAGACGACGTCCTCCTGCACCGGTGCCATGATTCTGCCACAGACCCGACACCAAAACCCCCGAAAGAATTGTAGTCATGCCTCCTTCCGATTCCTGACTGAATACTCCCGTCACTCCCCAGTGTCTGCCTCCTCCTTATAGCAAAAACAAATGCTCTGCTACTTTCATTTATCTTCATCAATACTATGTTGTTATAAATATTTACAATTTATTTTGTAATCACTTACACTGGTTATTATATGTCTTAATGGGTCTTTTTTTAAATTTTCTTATATTTGTATTATTTTCATTAGCTCAGAGGACATGTATCATTAATACTGGAGAGCGTATATTCACAGCTGCTAATCGTTTTATTTTGTACCATATATATGATATTCTCATGTTCTCATTGATCTTATTTAGGGGTAAAAGTGGGTTATCTTGATATCCAACAGAATGACGGTGAAGATGTCTCACAAACAGATCAAGTAAACATTGTTTTTTAACTACAGTATGAAATATACATATGGCTATAAACATGCAAAGATTATTCACATCTGAACAACTGCAATCATCTTTCAAGTCAATAACTGTTTACTAATTTGCTCAAAGCCGTCTAAAGGAATCTAAAGGTTGTGTCCACCCCCAGCAGAGACTCAGGTACACTGAGCGCAGTCTGTCGACGATGTCGCATTCTGAACAAGTGCTCTGCATTATAGAGGAGAATAACTCCATGGTGGGAACAAGACTCAGTGCTGGAATCTGATCAAGTTGGTTTAGTTGCCCAACCCGCGCTATTTCCTTATTGTCAACAAATCCCACGAAAATGCTAAAACCAACAATGAGTTAGTCTCCCAAGTCTGTCTCTCTCAGCTCCAAGCCCATTGGTTATTTCTGAAAATATACTTTAAAAAAAACAAATGGCTCACAAATAAAATTACAAAAAAAAAGAAGTCATTAATTAGTTAACGGTAGTTTTTAGCAAGCAAACAGGAGAAAATAGTGCATTAGTTGGGGACTATTTGCAGCAGGTGGATTAATACATTAAATGCTCTAAAGCAGTGTTTCCCAAATTTTTTTCAGGGGACCCACTCTTTCAAAATGACAAACATCGTGACCATTTTTACCGCCATTTCCACATCACCTTATATTACCTTGAATCGGTAAACCAGCCATTTATGAGAGATATACATCTGATAGATCACAACTTTGTTTTCTACGTACGTGTTGTGACATACTTTATAAATGCATATAGGCAAGGTTAACAGCTGTCTCCTTCTCTTAATTCCCTACCTCAGGTTAAACAAACAGAATGTCCTCGAGACTTTTATATTAGAGTCAGTGTAGCTTATAAATAGGCTACAGTTAACAGAACAAGAAAAACCTCCAGGTTCCCTCATGTGGCTCAGAGGTGAACTGCAGATATATAATTCAATGGAAGAAATTCTGCTCGTATATTTAGCCACCTTAATAACATCTTGTGCGACGCATCCGTTGGTTCCGACCCAGTCTTTGGGAAGGACTGGTCTCTGAGTCAGTGTGGCAGCAGGATGGTGTATCTGGGATTGAGTGAAAATCAGCTAGAGTGTGTGTGTGTGTGTGTGTGTGTGTGTTCATGGTAATGAAGGAACACGTCACCCAGTGTAACAGTGTGGCTCACTGACGAAGATCTGGGAGGCTTCACTTGTTGGTAAGATCTATTCATTGTCGGCTTGGCTCTGTACATGGGATTTGTTGACAAGGAAAAACAGATGCTGTAGAATATCACCAGACTTATCCATATCTGAATTTTCTCTTAAACTTCAACAACGCTCTGAATCCCATAATGTCTGACCTGTTGATGTTTTGAAGCCTAGCAGAGGTGAATCTGAAAGTATTGACAGTGGGCTTGGTGGAACTTTAAGAATGTGGGGGCACTATTAGATAATATAAAAATCTGAACATTTTACTTACCTTTTTGGTTGATATCAGCCAACCAGATTTTTTGCGTGTGGTCAAAGTCCTCTGATAAAATGTTCCGGACATGTTGATCCACAAACGGCTCGCATGGACCACAAACACCTGTCACACCTGTCATGTCGCTGACGTCATACGGGGAAGTGATTTGGTGATCGCCACGTGTTTCAGACTTCCACACTCATCTTATAAGCTGCACCTTTGTGTTTGCTTCACAAAGACGGCTCACGTACACAGGTACACTGGATCCCCCTTCATGATATATCAGAGCGCAACTATTTTTAATCACTGTGTTGCAGACGGACAGACTTGTAACCGAGAGCGTCGTCGATGTTCAGTGGTGGATCTCCGTGGCTTTCACTGGATGGGATCACAAAGTGGGGGGGTTTGGATGAAGTGGACCATATAACAAAGTCATTTCACACAGGGGTCCTATCTGTTGTATACATGATCTGTTTTCTATTTGTGAATAAAAAGCAGACAAAACTGTCTTGAGAACCTTAATGTTAATAAAGTTGAATAACTGGGTTTTTAATAATATGAATGTGATGGACTTCTTTCCTCTCTTAGCTCTGTTATAACTCTGTGAGCACTAAAGGAGCCGTGCTCATTCTTTGGGTTTCTACTAGAACACGTTCACATGCTTTAGTGTTCAAAACAACTCTTTATTTTTGACTTACTGTCAGTCTGAATAGAACTGTACTCACCCTCTGTCTGAAAAGCTCAGTTTGAGCAAATTTGGCGTCTCTGTAGACAATCACTTAAGTTAACCACCTGTCAGCTGATGTCAATCACACACACTGCAGCCGGGAAATAACCTGGAACCCATTTAGAATGTTGACATATATGAAATGATTTATATATTGTGTAGTTGTGAATTACTGTCCGGTAATCCTGACGGCTTGTTTTAAGAAACAGTTGCTGAATACGGGCTGTGCATATTTCTCCATGACTCAAGATGTTTGATTGCCACTCCGGTTATACAAGCACAACTGTGTGAAATGCTCCATAAATAGTAAACACAAAAGAGACAGATCAAATATAATACAACGAAATATAATAACAAAACGTAAAAAGCAATGAAAATATCTATTTGGAAAAACAATAAAAACGTTGCATTCAAGGTGAAAATATCAATCATAACATAAATACAATACTTGCAGTGTGGAGACGGCATTGGAAATGCATTATATGACGTCTTTTAGGTTGTGTGAGTTTTTAGGGGCTATATATAAACTTTACATTTAGATCACTACGTATATATCGTACAGAAGGTCATTGTATACATATGTATTACAGTGAGCCCTCCTTACCTGTATGGACATTTATTAGGTTTTACCTCTAATTTGTGACATGTCAGTGTGTATATTACAGCAGGCAGATATCATGTTGTAATCTGTGTTTTCAAAGGATGGCATTTTCTCATTTTCACAGAACAACATGTGGCTGTTGGTAGGAGATACAATTCATTATATCTCTTAAAGCGGATTTAAGACAGACCTGGATAGTCATTCTCTAGGTCTCACACAAGGATGATTATTCAAAGTAAGTTCATCTGTTTCTCGTAGTCCATTCTTGAAAAAGAGTTTTGATTGTAAGAATCAGATTTAAAAGTTTGATATTGATATTATATAGCTTCATCGGTACATCATTTGAATAAGGACATTTTGATACAGTTAAATAAATTTCAGATTTGGTGAGTGTTGATCTGTCCTGAGCTCAATCGTTTTCAGATAGCAGCTAACAACAACAACAACAACAACTCTCAATCAATCAATGAAGACATTGACTGATGGATTTATTGGTTTTATAAACTCATAAGAAAACACTGCTGATCAATGCTGGATAACAAAGCTTCTTAAAGGGACATGCGCCGGAGTCCTCAATGGAAAGAGCTGCAACGGTGAAGGAGCCGAGGCTTTTTATTTGAGACCACAGTGTTCCAGAGATATTCTAAAATAAGTAATTAGACTACTTAACAACTGAACGCAGCAGTTTCAAGTGAAATTATAAAGAAAAAATAAAGAGGAATGTAAAATGTAAAAGAATGTGAAATGAATCAAAAACAGCTGATAAATGCATTTTACAGGACAATATAATTATATAATAATGATAATTTATACACATCCTTATTGTCAATCAACTGCATGTAAGTTGTGAAGACTACATAAGCTCACTGATTATTCTATCATTGGCTATAATAACTGAGGTTGTAGAGTAAAGGCCATGTAGTGTGATAGCATCAAGCATTCAGTCAAACCAATCGAAGTAGGCATATTACATAAAACATTATTTTCCACCTCCCAATATGTGAAAAAACACATTTTTTTCCTACAGAGTTGAACGACACCATCTAAAGGTCACCAGATATGTCATGCTAAACATTCAAACAGTGTGTGATCAGGGGGTGTTCCAGCCCTTGTTTCTTCGGTTTCTATGGCAATGAGCTGTAACATCTGGGAATACAATTGAAAAATAGCCTCTTGGCTAACTCTGGCGCATTTACAGCAATGTTTTTATTAATGTGCACTGTCCCTTATCAAATAAACCATTAAATAAATCAATATTTAAAAGCCCAGAATGTTATCTTTTTTGTGATGTTTGCGGACGCAAATGTTGTCTGTATTTATGAAATGACACCATGTTTTCAGAAAACTAACATACTTAACATGTTTACAGAGAATTGTTTGCTGTATATCAATATACATCTTTTTATAGTTAATTTGCTTTGCACAATCAAGATATAGGGTTTGTTGCTTTTTGTCTGTGTTATCTCCCTAACTGTTGCAGCCTTTTTTAATCATTACAGACCCTGGACTGTAACTGTTAGCTCCTCGGCTGTGTCAAATGGTTTATAGGCTCTTTACTGTAGGCTTCGACAAAATAAAATAAAAATAATAAAAACGTGTTTCCCTGATAGAAGATATGAAGGGGGACTGCTTGGCTTATGTTGCTTATTATTCTTTTGAGCTGGTAACTGAATCTTTCCAAGTGTACCAGCAATGCAAAAAATGAATAAAAATGAAATTCAAAATGCTGTTTTTGTAGTTTTTTGGCTGAAAACAAATTCACTTTATTCTTTGAATTTTATATTCTAACTGCATAGGGAACTTCGTTTGAGCATCTTGTGCACTGACACTATGTGGTCTCTGAACTGAGTGATTTCAGAAACTGACACCAAGAAAAACTTTGAAAAATAGAATTGTACATTTTTAAAGTACAATTCACACAAAAAATTATATTTTGAATTTACAGAATTTCACATAATATAGATATTAAGTAACATTACTGAAGTTGAGCACCAGTAATCAGTAATCGTGGGTAACATCATTGAAAAACAATAATAGTTATGATAAATATATTTTGTGTGACTGTGCTGCCAGTGCCACAATGAAGATCTCGGCATTGCTGGTGCTGGCATGGTTTGGAAGAGAGAGGACGTCGTGATTGGCTGGGGGACTACGGAAGCCCCTCCCGTTGAGCTCCATGTAAACAAACACACACTGAGCATGCGTCACTGGAATAATGGAGGACTGCCTTTTCCACCCGGACTGATGATGTCTGTATTTCTACTCTACTACCTGTTCTGAGAAAAAAAAAAACTCGTCAACATTTCAGCGTGTGTGAGTTCGTGTTTGGCACTTGAGAATTATTTAGTTTGTTGGAAAGTAGGAGTAACTCTTAAGTTTGGGCACAATAAACTGATGGTCAGCAACAAGCCATGTTTGCTAGTTGACTAGCCGAGAGCGGAGGCAGCTGTCAGATCCGAGTCCGCTACACACTTAGCGGTTGTTCTACTTTCAATAAAAGAGTATCTGGTTTGATAGGACGACTTGCACTGTCTATAAATGTTAGCTAATTACAGTTTACTCCTGAATATGACAGCGGTTTAGTTCTTATTGACCATACTTTTAATTCCTGAGACGCAGAGCAGTTAGCATGTTAGCTAGCGCACTAACGTTAGCTAAATATGTTTCAGAGGAGCAGCGCTGTCAGTGGGCCACGGTGTGTGACAGACGTGGTGTTCAGCCAATCACAGACTGAGCATCATAATTAGTCAGGATTGTGTCCAATCATCGTTACGCGGCGGGCCCCCATGTATTCTGGGTTTTCTTAGTAAAGTCCGTAATGCAAGAGTTTAGAGTATGTTGCCTGTTAGCTCAAAGTTGAACATCTTCCCGGTTGGTCAACTCTACACGGAAAAGACCAATAGTAGGTTTAATTTGGAGTCGTTAGTTGCGTCGTAGCAAACGGACAACTTGGGTGAATGCAAAAAAAGTCTATTGCTGTAATACTATCAGTTGATGCTTTGGATACAATTTGTTTTCACGTAAGACATTACATATCTGGGCTATCAATTGTCTGTTGGGTCTCTATTTATGAAGATGAGGTTTGACTGGGTGCAAGTTTAGTGGATTTCTGTTCGAAAAACAAAGAATTAGAATAAAGGTTTCAGAAATCTGGATCAGCGTCTCTGGAGTCTGCTTGTAAATGCTGGTTTTAGTGGTATCTTCTGGACCTGGTCTAATGTGGTCCGAATGGAGAAAAAGCAGTGGAATCAGCCCTTTTGTCTCTTTTTAAGCAGAATAAAAGTTTAAAGAGAAGACTCACTTGACGAAAACTTTTATTTTACCATACAGAACACGGGGAAATATTAGATAAACTAAATAAATAAAATAAACTGATATCATTTTTTGAAGGTGGCATAAGTATGGTTAGCTGCTGCCCCTGTCCACAGCAGTACATTGCTTTAGCTTCCGGGCTGTTTCTCCAAACTGGGGTAGGTGCGACCACCATCTACTGTAGGTAATACACTGACTGTGTATAAGTACCTCATGCAGCCCTGCTTAAAGAAATCCGAAGTATCCCTTTAACATCTTTGGGTACTATGATGTCTGGTACTGTTTCCATAACTTAAAGTGGTATAACAATGGAAAAATTACCAAGTAATATCAGTTGACTTTCCCCTTTACCCCCGAATCGGAGAGCGACTTCCACAGTGTGCTTAGTTGAGATGGTCTGTTACTGTCAAGTGACGGCACAGATACAGATTGGGTCACAGGCTGAAAGACTTTAAGAAACTGCATTCATGTGAGCCACACACTGTCAGACACGTTACCAAGATGTTCTCATGATCATGTCTATGTTTTCCACCAATCAGAGTTGGAAGTCAAAGAAAGAAGCCCAAGATGACTACAGACACGCCGGCCCCAAGCGTGGGCTCCAGGATAATGACCTTCAACCCCTCCAAAGAGGAGTTCAAGGACTTCAGCCGGTACATTGCCTATATGGAGTCACAAGGAGCACACAAAGCTGGAATGGCAAAAGTAAGTGTTTATTGTATTTTGTCAGGTTATTATAATACAATAAGTTGACTTATTTCTCCTTAAATATACTATGTGTGTAATAACTTGTACAGTTGTACTGTAGTTGGGATAATCCACTTTGTTATGATGAAATAGGACATCATTATTAGCCATGTTGTTTGGCTCAATAGTTAACAATTTACTCCAAACATGACCTGAACCAAAGCCCTGCTAAAGAAGGAGCGTAGTAGACCTTAGTACGGTGTTAATGCAAATTCAACACTTCCTGTGGCTGCTTCACAGTGAAAGTGAAAGAAGATTATTCTTTCACCCTGAAGCAACAGCACAAGTTAAGGTACAGTCACTGTGGGGAAGCTTAGCTCAGGTTTTAACTGAGTGAATCCACATTTGCACATTTCTTTAGTGTCAATGTGTTAGTGCAGTGTTCCACAGAGGATGAGTGTTCTGGGGAGGTGGATGTGTTGTCTCAAATTTAACACTTTAAAGCCGTAGTTGGTTTTAATGAAAATAACTTTTTATCATATTTGCTCAAACTGTCGCTACATCCTGACAGAAGTACACAAGACAGATAATCTGTGAACAAATGCCTCCTTTTACTGCTCCGAAAAGCATCCGCAAGATTCAACCGCACCCAAAGAAAAGCAACCAATCGGAACCGAGGAGTCTCTCAGGCAGCTGTCAATCACTGCTCGTGGAGCTCCTGAACGCCGATCAAACCATAAACGAGGCAGCGCTCATCAAACATGAATCTGTTTCTGTATTGCCCATTCCTCTCCTCAGATGTTTTAGAAAGATATTTTAGTGTCAAACTGTCTGCTTTAGAGACTCCTCGGCTGCAATTGATTGTTTTCCATCGGGCGCGGTGGAATCTTGCAAAGACCATTAGGAGCATGAAAAGGATTAAATTAAATTAAAGTTACCAACTGTCGCTTTAAAGTATCTTTAAATGTTTGAGTTACTTTCGAAAACAAACACACAAACCACTTCATACATAGGCATGAATTAGATCCAGCGCACTCTTCACTCTTTATTTAAAAAGAAAATGAAACACTTAAAGCTGGTCCGCCTGTTAACTCCTGTTATTTGCTTCTTTCAAAACAGTGGTGAAGAACACCAGCAGCCAATGCCAGGAGTTGACTTTTTATTAATTCCCAAACTGTCTCATAAGTAACCAAATGACTGTTTGCTGACAAGCAATGCAGCATTTAAAAGGCTGTTTTAAACAACGGAATCATGAGATTGTCATCGCTCTGAGTTGCTCTTCTCTGAAATACAGCCAGTTTTCATTCTGCCTCTGTGTTCTCTTGCAGGTTATTCCACCCAAAGGCTGGAAACCTAGACGGACGTACGACGATATCGATGACCTGGTGATCCCCGCTCCCATCCAGCAGGTGGTGACCGGCCAGTCAGGACTCTTCACCCAGTACAACATCCAGAAGAAGCCGATGACTGTCCACGAGTTCCGCAAGACCTCCAACATGGACAAGTCAGTTTGCAAATCATGAACCGCAGTTGATCGATCCATGTTTTAATCGATCCATGTTTTTCACGCAGTGACTGTAAGATTACAATCCAGACAATCCTGGTACAGTGTGTGATTTCCATAACGCCTAACTCTCTCTCTCTCTCTCTCTCTCTCTCTCTCTCTCTCTCTCTCTCTCCCCTTGGATCTGTCATCGTAGGTTCTGCAATCCCAGATACGTGGACTTTGACGAGCTGGAGAGGAAGTTTTGGAAGAACCTGACCTTCAACCCACCCCTTTATGGGGCTGATGTCAGCGGGACTCTGTATGATCCAGTGAGTGGTGACAGTCTGGATAGAACCACCGACGTGGACTTCCATCTATTCGTTGTGTTTTGATTTTATGCCCACAGACTCTGTAGTAGTTGTGTCACTGTGACTTACAGCCTCTGCTGAATCCCTCCTTTTACAGGATGTGACCGAGTGGAACATCGGCCACCTCAACACCATTCTGGACACCGTGGAGAACGAGAGCGGGATCAAGATTAAAGGAGTCAACACACCGTACCTGTATTTCGGGATGTGGAAGAGTGCCTTCGCGTGGCACACAGAGGACATGGATCTGTACAGCATCAACTACCTGCACTTTGGAGAGCCAAAGTCCTGGTACAGTAGCCGACACACCCTGACACTGCTGGACAGACTGCGTTTTAGCTTCTCACTGCTGCATCCGTTTTAATAGCCTAAATGTAAAAATACAATCAACCTGTCAATAATCCTTATTTACCACTGCCGATACAACAATATGATGGGAAAGATGTCGCATGCTCTAAATGTTTGACACTGATTTTGTGAGCTAATAACAAAAGATCGTGCTGTTCCCTTTTATTAAAGGGGTTCAGTGCCTTCTGGAAAGCTCTGAGCTCTTAGATACAGCTTTCCACACAATTTACCCACAAGAGCCTGGGAAGTGATGAACTGTTATGGAAACAACAACAAACAAACAGAAACACTACATATGCTTTAGTACTGGGACAATGGGTCCAATCAACAACTGAGTAGATCTATGTTCATATGTAAATATAAATATTCGATCTTTTATTGTCTATAAGCACTGTATATCAGTGGGGTAATAGACCGCCATTGATCCCCATTCATGCTCTTCTCAGTAAAAAGGAGTATTGGGTGAAGGTAAATTATTACGTTATGATGTGTTCAAATGTAATCTTGTAAAATGTAGTTTTTGGAGAGAAACCTTAAATACAGCTGTTTGAAGATGTTTTCACAGCAATATAAAATAGATATTAGAGAATAAATTATGAGCTGTTTAACTTCCTAACACTAATGTTAGCTCTAAGCAGCTTATAACACATTAAAACTATTAATGGCACGATTTATTTATATCTATAAAAATCCAATCCTTTATTTTCTAAACATCTGAAGTGTGTGTTTCTATGAAGATAACCACCATAGATGACTACAACAAAAAAACGATAACATTTAGGATTTGTAACTGTTCAAACAGACATCAGAGCAGTTGAATTCATTTTTTGGGGCGATATGGGCCAATATGGATCATCAACCATCTGAACAAACTGTTATTTTTTCTTGCTGATCTGATCCGTGTCTCACAACCCCGATACGACCTTAACCGTCGGTTTTGGTATTCGTTGCACCGCCCACTGTATATGTATTCACTTACATCTGTATATGTTGCATTAACCGGAAGAGAGGCTTAGACCTTGCAGGTAGAAAAATTTAATTAGGAAAAAGAACTAAACAATATTGTTTTTATTTAAATGATTATTAAATGTGATTTAAAATACTGACACGTAAATTAGCTTTTTTTTGTCTGGTTTCGGAGCAATAACTTAGTTTACTCGTCTATTTCTTTGTGTAATTGATAGTTGTTGATGAATGTATTGGCGGTCCCAGCCCTAAAGTACCACAGTAATGATTGAGTCCATTGTTCTTCTGTGGTTATCACTTCCAGTCTTCATTCTTCAAAACCCTTGACCGCCAAGAACAAGCGGATATCTTAACTCGGCAGTCAACATCATATTTGATGTACTTGTTCTCTTTTTGCTCTTCAGGTACGTCGTCCCACCAGAGCAGGGGAAAAGACTGGAGCGACTTGCCAAAGGTATGTGATGGGTTCCTGCAGAACTCCATAGATGGATTTAGGTGTGTTTGATGAACAGGCTCTCATCACATTTGTCTTCATTCCCCTATGAAAATTGATTATTTACACTTTTATGCAAGTTTTAACCGCTGGGTTCCACAAGTCATGTCAGCTTGTTGTGCTCAGTCAGAACTGAAGAAGTCAGAACTGCTTTCAGTGAACCTCTTTACCAACGGTTCCCAAGCTGGGGGTCCAGACCCCTACTAGGGGTCACCAAAGCTCAGTGGCGGTCCGTGCATTTTATACCTGGGCCTTCAGGGCTGTCCTACTACAGTTGAAGCAATCGCCACACAATCCCCATTTCTCCAGACCATAATTCTTGCTTTGTAACAGAAAGCAACAGCCCAAACAGAGAATGAAATGTCCGGCCCTAACCCCGCGCATGACAGGATGCTTTGTCATTAACGGACAATGCATATAGTCAAAATCAATGTAAATAACACAATGACAAGAACAAACTCACAAGAACCAGTCACACATATTTATTAGTGCTGGGCAAGCTAACGCGTTATTATCGCGTTAACGCATTCATCAATTAACGCCGACAATTATTTTATCGCGCGTTAACGCAGTTTTTTAAATTTATTATTAAGCGGACATTTTAAACCCCCCCGGGTGACACGACCGGCTCCGGAACCCCCCTTCACTCCGTCACCGTCGGTCCCTCCTGTCTCTCTCACACACGCGCGCGCGATCGTCTCGTTACAGGATCAAACGTGACAATATCAAAACACATATTGTCGTGTTTTTAAATTAACATATAAGCACGAGAGAACAAACTGCTCTTAACTGCAACTCTTTATTAGCATACCTTCCTCATGCAGGTTACTGCCCCGGTACAGACTAGAGGTTCCATGCTTCACCTACATTCCCCTGGGTCCAAAGCCCCTCCATGTACAGCTTCTTATCACCCTCTATGTACCAACGTACATTTATAACAAATACCACACATATTACGGTAATCAGCGTTGCATATGTGTCTGACCACAATACCAACAAAAGCAAAAAATAAATGATTCATTTAAATTATATTTTTAGAGTTTTTAAAGTGTTTTGTTTGTAATATGTATAATAAGCATCATTTAGTTATCACTACTGAGAATTTATCAAACATAAAAACATGACGTAGATAGGTTTGTAGTTTTCAAGGTGTATATTTAAATATCATCTATTACACACATGAAGATAAAGCTGTGAACACCGGCTGAATATCTATGATCAGAATCATAACTGTTATAACTGTTGCTGTGTAAAGAGAATACTGCTGCTAACAAGAACCTGATGTGTTTAAAGTGTTTACAAACCAAATGTTATTGACCTTTTGTTCATATAGCAGTACCTTCAAAATAAAAGTGCACAATACATATACTTTTGAATTAATTATTGAACTTTGCGCATAACAATGAGATTAATCGCAAACAAATCATGCGATTAATCGCGATTAAAAATTGTAATCGTTGCCCAGCACTAGTTTTTCTATGACAACAAAGCATGACAAATCAATTCAGCAAACCTGCGGTACTAAAACACGTATTCATCCACACACTGAAGAGCACTATTCAAATATTATTCACATCAGAGGGAACAATATTAACCATATCATAAAAACAACACCATAGACAAAGTAACACAGTAGTAACACTACTGCAGATGTAAAAACAAAAGCACTTCACTTACCAAAGCTGCTGTTCACTTAAAGACAGAGTCCATCCTCCTTTCTTTGTTAACAAAGAGTTTAATGATGCGGTTCTACAGAACATCGGTGCGGTTCAGTTCCAGTCAGAGGTCCTCCTGCGAATGTGTTCGTTGAGTTGTAGATCCACTCGGTCTCAGCAAAAGTTTTCAAAAGCACCGTAGCTTGTAAGTGTCCTGTCGTGCTATGGTGTCTTGTTGCTGCCTTGGTTAGCCACCTCAGGTTAGCGTAGCGTAGCTCCAAACACCAAGATGCTCAGTTGCAAATAAAATGCATTCTCAGCCATAAAATGTGAAAAGCTTCTCTGACGCTGTCAACCAGGAATACCGTTCGTACAAATCCTCGTCAATTCCTGCAATCCATGTCAAAGAATACGCCCAACGTGTCAAACTAAAGATCTGATTGGTTGAACACTATGACAATCAACAATATCGTCCCCATTCACTTAACCTGCAAAGGGATTCACTTGTGAGTCTGCAGGCCTCGGGCCTCTCTTCTTACCTAGAGACACAGAGGTGAACTCTGATTGGATAAAAGCTCTACTTAAAACAAGCTGCACTGGAAGCAGCGGTGCAGGCTGGTGTTACATACTGAGTTAACCAGTGCGCATGTGTGTAACGCTTTTAGTTCTACAGGAACGGAAGATGTGTAGCCATTGTTGTTGATGTCATGCATAAGTTTTAAGTAAAGTCTTAAACATGTACAGTTGTCCCTGGAGTTATTGAATTAACAGCTGGAAGCAGAGCAACAGAGCTAATGGAAAAAAAAAATTATAATACAATCATTTTCGCTCCCGAGACGGACCATTTACCTGCATTCAACCAAAGCCTGCTCGAACGTGACTCGGACTACAAACAGGAACCAGAACGCTGCCTATACCAACATCTGGTCCAGTTACCTACAGATTCTACATATCAATGCAGGAACCTCTTCATAGAGATTGGTAACGAGTTAATATAGCAATGGCGAGGCGTCAGGAAGAAGAAAACACTGAATTTGTCAAATTTAGGAAAATTGTTTTAAAAGTTCTTAAAAGAAAATCAGGAATTCTCATTTATTGTGCAATATCCATAGATAATAATATGTTCAAAATTGCTCGTTCAACACAAGCTTCCTGCTGTTAATGCGTTCGCTGTTTGTTCATCAGTTGTTTTGTACTTAGTCAGGGGTCGTCAGTTTTCTCGGAGACCATAATGGCAATTCTGTTCACATTTGCTATTTAACTGTAACTGAAAAGACATGAACGCAACCAGATAGGGTCGTCTGCACTGATATTCTGGATGACTTCCTGTGTTTCCAGGTTTCTTTCCAGGGAACGCTCAGGGCTGTGAAGCCTTCCTGCGCCACAAGATGACTTTAATTTCACCCTCAATCCTGAAAAAATATGGCATACCGTTTGAGAAGGTGACCTTTCATTTACTTTGTGCTGACTTCATGGCATAGCCCCCTTATGTTTCATAATTAATATGGTAAAAAAAAGCTTCTTTTAGTTTCTTCTTTTAATTCTGTGTTTTGCATCCAGGTCACTCAGGAGGCTGGGCAGTTCGTCGTGACATTCCCGTTTGGGTACCATGCTGGTTTCAACCACGGCTTCAACTGTGCCGAGTCAACCAACTTCGCCACCCAGCGATGGATTGATTACGGCAAACAGGCCACACTGGTACACAAAAAACAACATCATTCAAACAGCTGTGAATCTTCATCTCGTGACTAATCCCATGCAAAGGCTGCAGCTGCATCTATGTAGAGATGTTCTGCTCCGCAATGTCAAACATGCGAAAGGGATTGTGGTTCATGATGTCACTTTGTTCTGTTAACACTCGTAGCTTGCAGCACTACGTGACGATCACTAGAACAAGACTAGGGCTACTTTCATCAAGCTAAAATAATCCTGTTTATTCACATCCCGCTCATTTTTGTTCAGTTCTTTTGAACGCAGCAGAGACCTGATTTATTATTAACGGAGTTATCTTGAATAATAGTGTGCTCTTATTTTGAGTCCACTTGGAAGTGGACCCAGACCCACGGTTTCTGGTGGTCTCAGTTTGGTTTTGTAGTCCACACCAGCATCGTATTGACAGCTTTCACACCCGCCCAAACGAACTGTACTAACCAGAGAAACCGACCTGAGTTTATTTTAACCACAATTTTAACTGGGAAAGCACCTTTAGTGTTCCAATGACAAATCTTTATTTTGCCGTCAAATGAAATGCCATTTGTTGTGGTTCCATTGGTCTGTTTCAGTTGAGATAATTACGCCAACAGATCACAATGATTTTACAATAACCTGCATGTTCTCATCTAAAACCACAATTATATCATCTCTCTTTGATTATAAGTTATATTTGAAAAGGACGTCATGTATGTAGTTCACAACTAAGCGTCTGGGTCTGTCAATAAGCTGCAATTTAATTAACATTAAAACAAGCTTTGAAGAATCATAAAATCCATCAAGCCCTTCCTGTTGTTGGGCCTATACCAGACTTTGATTGACAGATTTTACACCAACTTCAATGAACGAATCAAAACAGACTTTAGTTTGAACTCGAACCAAACCGAAGATGCAGCGTTCATCAAACGATACGTAAGCCAGTGTTGGGTGGAACATAGAGAAGTCTTATTCTGTCCTTAAAGCCTTACCAGTAGTAAACATTAGTGGACCTCATGAGAGAACATCTCCGTATTCCTATCTTAACGTTCTCTTAGTTTATACAAGTGTCCCACGTCAGATTTAGCAATCGCTTCTAATTTCAGATAACTGGGTGTAAATGACTAGCGTAAACATGATGGATGCCACCTGTGCATAAATGAGCATATTTAGCTTCCCAATAATACCATAAAAGGCTCTGCGTCCTGCCCCATATGTCCTATATTGTACCTTTTTAGAGAAAATAAGTTTGAGAAAACACGAGAAAGTTGGTGAATACAGCAAGTTCTCCTAAATCACTTAAAAACAAATCTGTTGATACGAGTGGTTCATGCATGAGTCCTTCTCACATAGGGGCAGGAGAGGGAAGCTCAAAGAGGGTCTCCATTCAAAGATATCCATCCTCTGTTTTCACTCAATTTAGTTTTAATCAGATCTTAATATTGCACATGGAAATGTTGACCGGATTGTTGCTGAAGGAAAGGTTAGGGACTCGTAACATTCTTAGATCATACTCTTGGAACCACAACTAAAATAAAATTTAAATACAAGCCAAAGAATCTGAATTACTAGAAAGAGTACTATCAGCCCCAACAGTGAAGGCAACTCTTCTCAAAGCCTTGTTTCGTACTGCTCAGACTACCAGGGTTCAAATCTAGACTAAAGTGTCGGATCTGTTCATTCCCTTCCAGTGTTCCTGTCGTCAGGACATGGTGAAGATCTCCATGGACGTGTTTGTACGCAAATTTCAGCCCGACCGCTACAAACTGTGGAAGGCAGGGAAAGACAACGCTGCCATCGACCACTCCAAACCCACACCGGAGGCTGCTGAGTTTCTCAAAGAAGACGAGAGCGAGCCTCCACAAGAGGCTCCCAGTGAAGCTGGATCCGAGGAGCCCATTACTCCTGTCCTGGAGGACAACAGGTCTGGATTTACACTCGCTACCAACACATCTCTTAACACAGTTCATACAAAATGCTTCTTATATAAACATTATATAGATCATAATTAATGTATTCATCACTTTAATGTTGCAGCTTGTAAACGTTTATTTACTTCATATACTGCTGGGCATTTGAATCTGTAATTGAAACAGCAATCTATTAGCTGATTAAAAAATCTAACATCTAATCTTTGTAACTAGTAACAAATGTTGTTGGATAAATGTAGTGGAGTAAAAAGTACAATATTTTCAAGAAAGTATAGTACAAGTACAGTTGTGTGAAAAAGTGTTTGCCCCCTTCCTGATTTCTTATTTTTTTGCATGTTTGTCACACTTAAATGTTTCAGATCATCAAACTAATTAAAATATTAGACAAAGATAACACAAGTAAACACAAAATGCAGTTTTTAAATGAAGGTTTTTATTATTAAGGGGGAAAAAAAAATCCAAACCTACATGGCCCTGTGTGAAAAAGTGATTGCCCCCCCCCCTGTTGAAACATAAATTAACTGTGGTTTATCACATCTTTGGAAAGCTGAGTTCAATTTCTCTAGCCACACCCAGGCCTGATTACTGCCACACCTGTTCTCAATCAAGAAATCACTTAAATAGGACCTGCCTGACAAAGTGAGGTAGACCAAAAGATCCTCAAAATCTAGACATCATGCTGCGATCCAAAGAAATTCAGGAACAAATGAGAAACAAAGTAATTGAGATTTATCAGTCTGGAAAAGGTTACAAAGCCATTTCTAAAGCTTTGGGACTCCAGCGAACCACAGTGAGAGCCATTATCCACAAATGGCGAAAACATGGAACAGTGGTGAACCTTCCCAGGAGTGGCCGGCCGACCAAAATTACCCCAAGAGCGCAGCGACGACTCATCCAAGAGGTCACAAAAGACCCCAGAACAACATCCAAAGAACTGCAGGCCTCACTTGCGTCAATTAAGGTCAGTGTTCATGACTCCACCATAAGAAAGAGACTGGGCAAAAATGGCCTGCATGGCAGAGTTCCAAGACGAAAACCACTGCTGAGCAAAATGAACATAAAGGCTCGTCTCAGTTTTGCCAGAAAACATCTTGATGATCCCCAAGACTTTTGGGAAAATACTCTGTGGACTGACGAGACAAAAGTTGAACTTTTTGGAAGGTGTATGTCCCATTACATCTGGCGTAAAAGTAACACAGCATTTCAGAAAGGGAACATCATACCAACAGTAAAATATGGTGGTGGTAGTGTGATGGTCTGGGGCTGTTTTGCTGCTTCAGGACCTGGAAGACTTGCTGTGGTAAATGGAACCATGAATTCTGCTGTCTACCAAAAAATCCTGAAGGAGAATGTCCGGCCATCTGTTCGTGACCTCAAGCTGAAGCGCACTTGGGTTCTGCAGCAGGACAATGATCCAAAACACACCAGCAAGTCCACCTCTGAATGGCTTAAGAAAAACAAAATGAAGACTTTGGAGTGGCCTAGTCAAAGTCCCGACCTGAATCCGATTGAGATGCTGTGGCATGACCTTAAAAAGGCAGTTCATGCTCGAAAACCCTCCAAAGTGGCTGAATTACAACAATTCTGCAAAGATGAGTGGGCCAAAATTCCTCTACAGCGCTGTAAAAGACTCATTGCCAGTTATCGCAAACGCTTGATTGCAGTTGTTGCTGCTAAGGGTGGCCCAACCAGTTATTAGGTTTAGGGGGCAATCACTTTTTCACACAGGGCCATGTAGGTTTGGATTTTTTTTTTCCCTTAATAATAAAAACCTTCATTTAAAAACTGCATTTTGTGTTTACTTGTGTTATCTTTGTCTAATATTTAAATTAGTTTGATGATCTGACATTTAAGTGTGACAAACATGCAAAAAAATAAGAAATCAGGAAGGGGGCAAACACTTTTTCACACAACTGTATGTCAACATTTTAGTACAGAACTTGAGTAAATGTTCCAACACATTAGTACTTTTAGTCTGTTGCCAGTACAAGGTGAGTACAGAACAACCCCTATGTAGTACAAGCACTGCACAGGAGTTTAACAGCTCAGCAGCCCATTGTTTGTGACAGTTATCATATTATGATTGTTTCTTTGCTTTTATTGAGGAAGTAACTTATATTGAACCACAGCTGAGCTGATAACGGCACTCTCACTCACCAGTTACCAGCTTCACTGCTAAAAGCTACTGATTGTGTCAGCGACGATGGTGATTCAGTGAAGTCTTTCTGTGTTAAAGATTCATCCGTACATGAACTTCCCTCAGCTTTGTTGCTTTGTGAGTCCTGTCGGGCATGTCTTCATTAATGTCTCCCATGCATCAGTCCAAAGCCTCAGACTGGGACAAAGCGCCAGCTCGAATCTATTGAAGCCTTCGAAGACGTCAAACCTGAGCTGACGGTGAAGGACACGAGGACGGAAGAGGTGGAGCCAAAGAAGGCCAAGCTGTCACGCAAGGAGTCTCCGACTAAAGTCAAGCCAGACAAAGGTACAGTATAAGTGCGGTTTGGTGTTAAAGGGATAGGTTGGATATTTAGAAGTGGGGTTGTATTGGGTACAAGGTAATACCTCTCCATATTCAGTATTACCTACAGTAGATGGAGTTTGGACAAACAGACAGGAGTACCAGCACATCAGCAAAGTAATGTACTGCTCCGACCCTCCCTGTCCTCTGCCACCACCGAAATACTCATCCATGCCCTCATAACCTCCAGACTGGACTACTGCAACATCATCCTCTACGGTTCTCCCAACAAAATCATCAATAAACTCCAATATGTTCAGAACTCTGCCGCTCGACTGCTCACTTCCACCCGCCGCTATGAACACATCACCCCGGTCCTTCACGACCTCCACTGGCTCCCGGTCAAATACAGAATAGACTTCAAAATACTACTCACGACCTACAAAGCCCTAAACAACCTGGCCCCTCCCTACATTTCAGACCTCTTCCTGCTCAACGCCCCAACCCGTTGCCTCAGGTCCGCCGGTGCAAACACTCTGAAGACCATCAGGACCAAGCGCCGGACCTGGGGTGACAGGGCCTTCTCAGCTGCTGCACCTCCCCTCTGGAACGCCCTCCCCATCCACATCTGTGAGGCTCCCTCCCTATCATCATTCAAACAAGCTCTCAAAACCCACCTCTTCAACCTTGCCTTCACCTGCTAACCCCGGCACCCTACCCTCCACTACATGACCCATTCAGCACAGCTTCTCCAGATAGTCTTTTTTTTTTTTTTTTGTTTGTTCTGTTTGTCTCTGCCTTGTAAAGCGTCTTTCGGTATCTTGAAAAGCGCTATAGAAAATTGATATACTATTATTATTATTATTTTAGACTCGGTAGCAGTTTAAATGTACACTATGTTTAGAATATTTTCAGATGGGGAACTGAACAGAAGAGTGAAACTAATCTATACCGTTTCTTGTCAAAGTGTGGTATTTTTGGCACATGGGAGAAGTCTGCAAGAAAGCCCTTTGTTGCTGTAAATCTCCTCAGGTTTATACAGCAAAGCTACTTGATCATGTTTTGGGTTACAATAAACCCTCTCTGGCAGAAAGCCCTGAAGGCAAACTTCTCCCGTGTTTGGCTTTGAAGAGACCATCGATAAGTTTTCCTTTCAGTTCAGTTGCCCGTCAGAAGGGGCTGTGTGACAGAGAGATAAAGCGGTGAAAATATTCTAAATATAGCTTCAACTTAAAATCATTTGATTCTTTTTTTAGGTGTCTGGAATACGTCCACAGCAGTACATTGCTTTGCTGGTACAATTGCCTTTTTTTCCAAAATGGGGGCGTGCCGACTGTCTACCTCATACAACCCTACTTCAAAACACCCAAACTATCTCTGCTTTTGTGTTGTTGGTTCATGAATGTAGGCGTCACTCATCCCATTCCACACACAGTGACTGGTTAAAGCCTTTATGCGCTGTGCAACAGCTCAGAAAAATCAACCTTCTTCTGAAAGAAATTAGCATTCTGTGTGAAAGTATTCATGACAAAAACAGTTCGTAAAATTATAATGACGTGCAAATTCATCACACTAAAAAGTCCAGTTCTCAGTTTTGAAAAACAAGCTTTGAGTAACAAGCTCAGTGTATTGTGATGATGACAGAAGCTTATTGTTTAGGGTGGAAGCCTCTTTAGTATGCAAGTACAAACATGCAGACCTTATTGGTGTATTTATTTGTTTCATAGGCTGTAACGAGCAAACGTCCTGGAATGGTACGGGACAATCTGGTGGTATCAGTCGTTGCAATAATGTTCATCATTACCGAATTTATTCTTTCAGACACAGTGAAGGTCAAGACTGAGCCTAAGAAGGACAAAGACACCAAGCCTCAGACTAAATCTCAGTCCAATGCCAGCGCTAAGAAAACTTCAAACAGACAAAGTGCGTCAAAAAAAGAGAAGAACGGTGTGTCGGCTGCAGACGCGTGTCCTCCAGAGCCCGTTGAGAGCCGGGCGGGGGCCCCGTGCTCCCAGGAGGAGGAGGAGCCTCGGCTGGGCAGCAGCTGCAGCCCGGCGCAAAAGCTGTTCCAGAGGACGCTGAGCCCAGCGGACGTCCTGCACGTTCACAGCTACGCTAAAGGAGACTACGGAGAGGGAGAAGCCCCGCCCAAGGAAGACAAGAAGAGCGAGGACAGTGACGATGAGACGGAGAAAGACAACAGACATGTTAGCAAAGCAGTGAGTGGACACAGGCATTACACACACTTCAATGCTCTTCTTCACATGTTAATGGACCATAACAGTGTTTTTTTCCATGTTTTAGCCTCTCAACTATTAGTTGTGTACACTATTGTTAACAGTTTTACAACCATTGATTCAGTAGATTTCATATTTTATAAAGCTATACATGTAAAAGCTAAACCTTGGTTTATCTTTTGGCTTGGCTCAGATGCCAGTAAGAAGCATTACTCTGACAAGTAATCCAAAAAGGAAACAGTTAAGCAAACACGGTGGATTTGTTGTTTGTTGCATTTAAAGGAGGACTCTCACCAGCCAACTCTTAGCTCAAATGACGGCACATCCTTGAACACAACAAGAGTTATTTTAATCGTCCTTTCTGCATCAAAACACTGCATAAACAAGACAATATTCACTGCATGGTGCCAGATTTAGGTATGTAAGCAAGGGGAAAGGATTATCTGTCAGTACGGTCTTTTGGAAAGATTGTCACGCCTGGACTCTGACGGTAACAGTAGGCGTGTCTCTCCAGCAGGTAGCAGAAGCAGTGGCAGGAGATGGAGAGCCAGAGAGTGATCTAGGACAGCTGCCAGGCCACCATCCGCTCATCAAGGACGGCATGAGTGATGAAGGTATGTCGCATCAACTACAGCAACTAGACTGCCTCACCATCACACTTAATATTGGATGAATATGAATGCCCAGTTATAGAAAGGGGCTTTAGGTCTCTGACGCTATTAGTTATTTGATCTGAATCGGTGGTTGCTTCAGTCTCGCTGTCCGTCATTTTGACACAGTGTCGTACAAATTCCATTATAATCAATTATTACCTGTCGTCTATTTCGGATAGTAATGATAAGACAGGTGGTGTCTGTAATTCTAACACTATACTCTTTTTGTCAAATTCAGTGAATATCTTCTCACAGTCAATGAAAACGATGCCTGTGGTCATACACATCCCTCGATCTGTAAATAGGGAAAAAACCAAAGTGGCTCCAACTGAGCCCGAGTGCTGTACCGAATGTCATTGTTTACATTTGAAACTTTACAATGAAGCTTTGAATGTCTGTGTGCGATTCGTCCTCTTTTGACCGCAGCGAAAATGTTGGTTTTGAAAGAATAAACACCAACAAATGTGGATTGAAGCAGAATATTGCGTGAGATAAAAACACTAAGTACAATTTTCAAATGATTACATCTATCTTTTTAAAATATATTTTGACTTTGTGACAGGACAGAATCCAATACAGATAAAAGGACACGGTGGAGGCGATCGCTCTGTCGGTTTGTTTTTTTAAATAATTAACTTGCAGAACGAGTTTATAGATTATGTATTTATAAGGGCATGGAGAGAGAATATGAGCAGACACCGACCATGGGGTCACCTTTTGTTCCGCCAGCAGAGGCCGCTATGGACAGCCTTTAGATTTTTCCTTCATTGAAAAAAATAAAATAAAATCCTTCAATAACGGAAAATATTTGGTCAACAAGACCTCTGATCTCAACACGTATGCTAACTTTACTGTTGTGCTTGTTTGTCCCTCAGAGGCTCCGGAGGAGGCCCCCCCAGTGGAGGAGGGTGGTCTGGAAGGGGAGAGCTGGGCTAAACCTCTGGCTCACCTGTGGCAGAGCAGACCTCCCAACCTAAAGAAAGAGAGGCTGTACAACCAGCGCATGGGATCCAAAGCTCCATATTGCTCCATCTGTACGCTGTTCCACACATACCAGCAGGTAATGGGTACCAGAGCAGACCCTCGCACTCGCATACCAACATATAGACCAGGGGTGGGCAAACTTTTTGGCTCGGGGGCCACATTGAGTTTTAAAATTTGACAGAAGGGCCGGGCCAGTAGCAGATGAATGGAGAGTGTTTGTGTGAACTAATATAAATTACAAGTAAAAGCCATGACCTAAAAAGTAAAGGAAATTTACAATTAATCTCAGTGGGAACAGTGTTGTTGGTCACCCTTTTTTGCCAGTGCATCAACATTTGATGTCAGTTTGGTTGTGTCAATTCTCAGAACAGATCTAATGTTTTCATTAGTTAAAGACTGTGGTCTTTAGAGCAATTTGCTTCTTTAAAGGGATCACACAGATATTTGACTTTCACAATGAACATTATCAGAGCTCTGCTCTGTAATGTCTTTCCTTGTCTCTCCCCCCTGTGTCACGGTGTGGGTACATCTCACTGGAGTCAGGAAACGTATCAGAATACCCTTATTTTATTGGCTAAACTGCATCACGTGACGTGATTTACAACGCATTGGTCGGTGTTTTTCCTGCACCGCTGAACAAGTGCCGTAAATGCTGGAAAGTAGCATGAATAATTCCGCTGCATAAAGCAAAGGCCCGCGACCCACTGAAAACGGGTCCGCGACGAACCACCAGTTGAGAATCACTGGTCTGCAGGATCGTGACGAGCGGTGAACAGCTGTTTGTGTGGCGTGTCTTCCGTCTCTTCCCGTTTCCTTCACCTACATTCCCCTGGGTCCTAAGCCCCTCCCTGTACAGCTTCTTATCACCCTCTTTGCACCAATGTACATTTATAACAAATACCACGCATATTACACGGTAATCAGCGTTGCATATATGTCAAACTCTATCGGTGCATCTCCGGTCTGTCTTTGTTCATCCTGCATCGCTCTTTTCTGTTCTTTAATGTAACGTAACTGGAGCGACGGAGCCTCTCCCAGCTGTTAGCGGACTGTTGTGCTAGCAGGCTCGCGAGTGAGCTGTACCCAGCATGCAGTTCTGCGGTGAAATTTTATAAATGTATAATTATTAGTGTTACAAATTGTTTATGTGTCACAGACTGTTGTGTGCTGTTGTGTTTTTCTCTGTTAAAGAGCGTTAGTTGGGGGTTGTTAATTGTTGTGTTATAAAGTTATGACCATGACTAGGGTTCCCTCTCAATACATATAAGAGAACTAGTGCTGACCGCAGCGCTTTAAGCGGCGAACAATATATTTAGCTGCCTGTTGAAAGCAGACAGCAGTTGTTTCGGCTATGCACCGGTATGATGTTGTGTGAAGAATTCATATTATACGGGAAATGTAAACCGGTATACCGCCCAGCCCTAGTCTTTATTATAGTTTGGACAATTTTGTACCAATATTTGACGGGCCGGATTAAAAAGCCCAACGGGCCGCATATGGCCCGCAGGCCGTAGTTTGCCCATGCCTGATATAGACCATACGCTACAGACAGAGCAGCAGGTGTCAAGGAGAGAAAACTCTGAACACACCGTCACGGTTATCTCGGTTTGTGAGGGAAACTATACGTTTTCAACCCGAAAAAAGCCGACAGTACCAACTAGAAGTGTGAAACTTGAAACCTTTAGTAGGCAATGTGGATCTGAAGAAAGAGGCAACCCAGTTACATAATGGGAAACGCAAGATGCAGTTTTTTACAGCTTGACCCACATTAGGGACAAAGAGTAAATTGGCCACTGACAACTTTATGGAGGTACAATACTAAATACTGGAAGGTACTTTCAGCTTTTGTGTCCACTGCGATCAGTTAGTGAGCGGTGTTCTTGGTGTTGGCAGCAGCCTGTTTGTTTTGTATTGATGTGCCTACAAATATTGAATTCATTCCATCATATTAATGTTAGACTGGGTTGGGACATTTACTCCATGAGGCCTTGCCCCCCCCACCCCCCATCATATTGTGATGAAATCATATATTGAGATAATTACATCGTCTAACTTGATAATAACAAGGATTTACTCACTCTCAGGAAATCTGATTATTTTGCACTGGAGTTCTTAATTAAATGAGAAAATACTGGTATTTAATTAACACTAGAGTGTACAAGCCCATGTGGTTATTTCATATAAACAATTTATTTATTGAATTGCCAAAAAACATGCTGAATCGTGACATACAGCGTCAGAAATACACGAGGGCAAAGGGCAAAACTGCCCCTAAGAAATATCATTTTGCCCCTGATATCACTAGGAGAGGGGCAAAAAATGCCCCCGAACTTTCTAAACGAATAAATAAATGGAGCGCTTCTTAATCAGATCTGTGACTGCGAGACTGCGGTCAACTCAGCAGACACTTCAATTTTAGTGCACCTATATGCTGAAATTCACGGTAAACTCATTCAAACGGCACAGATCGGGAGCGAGCGAAGGACTTTGAAAGTTAACGGAAAGATTAACGTGAGACAACATCCGGTTTATTCAGACGAACATCCGGTTTTCAGAATAAGATGCCAACAAGTATACATATTGCATAATGGAAATTAGATTAAATTAATTATTTTTAAGGTGCAATATGAAAATGTTTTTCTCAAAAATTCTCAGAGAAAATCAGTTGGTAGACCTTGAGCTGAGATCGTCAACTGGTTTCCAAGATCAACATGTAGGTAACTAAAGCTGTCAGATAAATGCAGTGCAGTAAAAAGTACAGTATGTCCCTCTTAGATGTAGTGGAGTAGAAGTATAAAGTAGCAGGAAACAAATACAATTTTGACATCCTTGTACTGTACTTAAGTACTGTATTTCTAAGTACAGTACTTAAGTAAATGAACGTAGCTGCATTCCACCAAAAGAGAAGGTGGTGCGACCAAACTTATGTACCAATCGGAGAATTGGTAACACCAGTAGAGAAGTTTTTCTGAAGTGTCTGCATGCTTTGTTTGCCGTCAGACTGAATGTGCGAGCGGCGTAGACGGTCCCGTCATGGTGGGCAGTGGGCGGATGCGGACCAAGCCTCTGATCCCGGAGATGTGTTTCACCACCACCACAGAGGAGGACTCTGAGTGTGAGGAGCAGCCCGTCACGCCTCACCTGGAGGAAGACGGAACCAGCCTCCTCATCAGCTGCTCTCAGTGCAGCATCCGGGTTCACACCAGTCAGTACACACACACACACACACACACACACACACACACACACACACACATGAACATGTCTCACGTTCAGAGTTTTCATTCCCTAACGTTTTTATACGTCATCGTGACAGAGATGTGCTACTTTAGAATTAGACGGCAGATCTTTGCCATAACACAACCACTTAAAGCTGCACTGACTCGACTAACATACCTTCATAATGACACAACAGTGATTCTCTGAACTGCCACACCAGTGTGTCAGGCTGTGTCTCTGTGTTTGTGTATTCCAGGCTGTTACGGTGTGGATCCTGCCAGTGTGAGCAAGGAGTGGAAATGTGCGCGCTGCAAGTCCAACGCCATGACTGAGGTCAGTGACCACTGGACGCGCTGCGGCGTCGTTTAGTCTGAGCCCTTTTGGAAGTTAAAGTGTCTCAGGCTTAAAGTAGTTATTTCTAATGGCTCACAGCCATTAGGGTTCATCGTACATTGTTTTGTTCTTCACAAATCAAATTTTCCAAAATTCTGTCTACATTTTTTTTCTCATCAAAGCTCAATCTGGTTTCATCATTAATGTTGTTATTTTTTTATTTGCTCAGTCAGAAATCTACTTACCCAAAGATACATTAGACTTGCCCCTCTACAATATTTATTAGCGGTTATCAAAATAACAACAAAGAATGAAGTTAATTGTCATGTGTAGTCGTTATTTATGTAAATGAATCTGGAGTTTCACCAACGTCCTCTAATGCCACCCAACTAAACTCCTGTTTCCAGGATAATTGAAATACTCGTTTGCGCTTTAGCTCGTAAACTTTGTTTTTACCGGCCGCTGTTTTCTGCCAAATCCCCGATCGGCACTTTGCATGTTCATCTCTCAACAGAGATGGGCTCCTGAGCCACTTCCATTATCAGCTTCAGAAATGACTAGATGTCTTTGCTAGATTTACTAACCCAACGTGGTTGAGCCTGCATTGTTTGCTCATGCACTTCATTTCCCCCACTTTTAAACCTGGTAAGTAGTGTAGGTGTAGTTTTAGTGTGATTTATTTTTCTGTGATAGCACCACGTGTCATGTACTCCTGGTGAGCCTTTCTACGGTGAAGGTTCATCCTGAATGTAAACGAGTCGACTAAAGCTTAGTCTGTACTCGCTCTAGTGAAGCTGGCGCGAGGCGCACGCCAGATAATGACGTCGTCACCTCAAAATTCTTGTAACTTGATGCGCACGCGATCACAAGATTGTTACAAATAGTTCACTGATAAAAGCACTATTTACATGTCTAGGGATTATACAAAGAAGGCCAAGAGGCTTTAAAATGCTTCAGAAACAGGAGGTCTTAAAAGTCTACATGTCAGTAAATATTTTGCAGCCAAATCAAATAGTTTACAGGATATTAAACCTGTGTTTCTTTATCATGCATGCAATACTTCTTTACAGTGCTTGTATACAGGTAATAAAGTAGTCCATGAATATGAGATACGAGTTTACAGATAATTACGATCCCTCCTCGTCATAGTGGAGGTTACAGTCTACGGGCATATCTATGAGTAACACTCGTAGTCTTTTTGATTCTTCACAGTTCATTTTGTTTTTTTGCCCTCTGGCGTTTCGAAGAATAATGCAGCTGATGAGCAGCTTGATGCTGCAGTGGGCAGTCTGCAGTCTGTATACTTGAGAACTGAGGTGTCTCTGCTCAAACCCAGACGCTCACATGTACAGTTAGTTTCTTTCCACAGTTGATTGATGACATGTTCTATTTGCAGAATTGCTGTTTGTGTTCACTGAGAGGTGGAGCCTTGCAGAAAGCCAACAACAACAAGTAAGTTGTTCCAGAATCATCAGGCACATCTACAGCACGTTGATAATGGCGTCATCATATCATGAATCATCAGGAACAACAACACGTGTCACTTGCTAACCGGTCCATACATCCTGACTGATCGGTACCTGTGGGTAAAACCCTCGTGCACCTACTTGTTATGCATCCATGCTGGCGATAACCGTGGCTGTAGGCACAATGTTTGGGGTTGTCCGTACTTACATTTTTACAGTCAAGGTCACCGTGACCTCACGTCCGTCCCATTCTCCTGAACTTGATATCTCAGGAACTCCTGCGGGGAATATCTTCATATTTGGCATAAAAATCCACCCAGACCCAAAGAATAAACTGATTAGAATTTGGTGGTCAAAGGTCACTGTGACCTCATAAAACATTTTTAGCCAAAACTCAAGAATTGATATAATTATCACGATTTTCCACAAATGTCTAAAAGCATAAAATGATGGAGCAGAGACATGTTGGACATTGCAACATGACTGCTAGGTGGAGGCTACAACTGCAAGGCAGTAATTCGGTTTTTACCTGATAATGCTACATTGTGAACTAGAGCTAGTTAACGTTAGCTGTTAGCAACCAGTGAGCAGCACAGTCCTCCAATTACATTGATGCGATCAAGCTCTATTCAGTGAAAATGAGTATTGGGTGAAGGTAGATTATAACGTTATCATGATTTGTTCAAATGTAATCTTGGAAGATGTCGTGTTGGTGAGAAACTTGAATAATTCCAGTTGTTTGATGGAGATGTTTTCACAGTAAAATAGATGTTAGAGATGAACTATGACCTGTTAAGCTTCCTAACACTAGCTCATTAAAACTACCAATGACACAATTTAATTTATCAATTAAAGTACAATCTTTTATTTCCTAATCATTTGAATCGTGTTTGTATGCAAATCACCACTTTATATGACATCAAATATGAGTAAAACACAAACGGTACACTCATGATACCACACAACAGAAGACCCAGCATGTCAAATCCATGCACATAGGAGATGTGTGCTTTAGCAAATGAACAGAATAGGCTGCTTACTGCTCGATGAAGTTGCGTTATTAATACTTGCGTGCGTGTGTGCGTGTTGCAGGTGGGTACATGTGCTGTGTGCAGTGGCTGTGCTGGAGGCCCGCTTTGTCAACATCACTGAAAGAAGTCCTGTGGATTTAAGTGGAATCCCTTTGCAGAGATTTAAACTGGTGAGTTCAAATTACAGTCACCCTTTAATGGATAAGCTTTGTTACGTTCTCCTTTGGAAGCTGTTTTTCAAATAGTGACTGAGGCTCAAACAATAGCCAGCATGAACACAAACAAAGGCTGATTGCTACTAAAGGCAAGGGGGAGTAAAGCCACCTGTTCACAATAGATTTAAGATAGTCCATGTTCCACAGCACTCATTCCATCTGTACTACAAGTCAAGTCTCTCTTTAACAGAAATCCACTTTTTCTTGACTAATAGAGATGAACGGCCGACAAAGAACATGTGGCCTTTTGGAGCTGCTGGAATGCTTTTAATGTGAAACATCTGAGCAGGAAGTGTTGAGTTTTACTGTAGCTTAAGAGGATAGTTCAACCAAAAACAATACAAATTGTTTATAGAACTCACTTCCCCAAACTCTCTAAAGTCCCAGAAAGAGGTTCCTGTCTAATGTGAATACCAAGAGTGGAGCGCCCGAAAAACACTGAACACAAGTCTTTCCACTAAACTTTTGCCAAACAAAGCGTTTTCTGGATTATCCTCATGTGAAGAAATTTTTGTGTGCATGCTTTTTATAGCTTTTTTTGCTGTCGGACTCTGTTTACGTCTGTTTGCACTGATATGCTTAAATTTTCGGGTGCCCGCTCCCCCCCCCCTCGACTATTCCAGATCGGAATAATCTATCTA